AGTTTAAGCACAATGAATAAAATAATTATAACTTTGTACACTTCAACTCTACAAAATCATATACAAAAAGTTCAACCTAGGCATATATAAACTTATAATTTTGTATAATTCCAAGTGAAAGACATATTAGTACAAAAATAAAATGCCTTTTGAAAAGGACACTCAAAACACTGCTTTTGAATTAGAGCAATTATTTTGTATGTATACCATCTCAGCAATATTTGCTAAAGAAAATTTAACACATCACACTGGCTCACACCAACATCCACATCATTCCAGAGCCATGTGAGAGGTCAGTGATTAACCAATAAAATCATTTTGTTCATGTTACCAAGTAATTTTTATGTTACTAATAGCATCATTTTTCTTTTGTAAAAGTAGACAGGTACCTGTATATAATGATGGTTTTCAGTTCACATATTTCACTATCAATAAAGGTGAACAGTGGAACAATGTCATGCTGTGCTCGGTCAGAACATGGCAATATGAGCTCATTAAATTGCAGCATGCAGTCTAGTTTTCTAATAATTCAAATCTTTAACAAGTTCTGTAGCCAAGAAAAAATGGCTTTAATTGTCAATGAAGTTACTGGCCTTACAAAAAGTGAAAATTGGGAGGAATAAAAAGTACTTCTATTTTGCTACCCTATAACCTATTTTTAATGTTCAAATCACTCAAACAAACATCATTTCTTTTTCTTTGGATATTAGCAAAAACACATCACATCCTCAGATTTACAAGCAAAAAAAAACACCAAGCAATCCTTCTGCAAACTGTGCATACATTTTGAAATGCTTTGTATAGAGGGTAAAAGGTAACACCTGTATCCAAGGCTGTATTCCTGAGCCTAAAAAAATAGATAACTTTTCATGCATGGTTTGGCAATTTGAAAACAAGCATCAGCACAAAAAAATGCACTGCCAAACTGATATTTGCATTTACATATTTGTGAACAGTAAAAACAAATCTCTCTACGTCTTGTGCAGACATAGTTAATAATGCATGTCCAGTGAACACTATACCTAACAAAAATTTTCACATAAACACAAATACATTTACATTATGTGATACTGTCAGGCTTTCAGCAAAAGTTCTGCAAATGAATCATATTTATAACAAACAAATAGTATCTGTCACAACTGCGGTGCATTTGCAGAGAATTTTTTGATGCTTCAAAACTGTGCAGTAGCTGATCAAAATGCATAAGTTGTAATTAACTCTTAGAGAGGTTTTGTAAGAACAATCAATCAAAATGCATGATACAACTGCGTTGCAAGGATATCACCAGTGGCTATTGTCTGACACCCAATTTCTCTTGTCTTCTTTCCACTCGCATCATCATTATTTTCCTTGTTGTTGTCTTTCTCTCCATCAGCATGATTGGCTCCATTTTGCGTTGGCATATCTTGAGGATCGGGAATTGCGATGTATCCTGCAGTTAGCCTGGCATCACTTACAGTAGACGTATACATGAACTGACTCTCAGGTACCATGGAAACTGTAGGAATAGGAACAAAACCCTTATCAGACTCTGCCTCTAAGTTATCTTTCTTCTTCTGTTTATCAGAGCCAGGATTGAAATTCCACACTGGAATCACCCCCGCCATGCTGGGAGCTGCGTCATTGTAGGCGTAATTCTTATCCCCAGTCAGTTCAAATGTTGGTGACCCCTCATCCGAGGATGACCCAAAATCAATATCAGCTGTAGGCAGCAGCTTACTAATTTCTTCCTCAATACTTTCAGAATGCTTAAACACCTCAGCCATATATTTCTCATGATCCTGACTAGAACTTAAATCTTCTGTTTTGTTTGGAACATTATCACCTTGAGCATATGGTGGAAGCTCCCCCTCTTTCCAAATAGCTGTTGCCCGCCACTTTGCTCGGCTTACTTTGGGTGCAAGAACTGCATTGAAATTTAGATATTCTCCAACCGTGAATTCCCCCTGAAAATCAGTACAAGGGAGATGGTAGATTGAGCGGTCAAAAAAGACATGTTCATGCTTTCCTAAGTCTATAATCCCCCATAATTTGGCTACGTGGTAAATTTTTCCTTTGCGTCCATTTAAAGCTTGCACTGCTTGGGTATGAGGCCTGGAGCCAGTGATGACCACATTAAGTCTTGCATTTTTGATAACAGTCACCTCTCCATCTTCACTCACTTGAAACACCTGTGGATATTTCTTAATAAATTCCTCCAGCTCATATTTAGTCCAGCCAATAGTGTTTCTGACAGTCTCAGGTGCTTGACTAAAATGACCAGTGATATTGTGTATTTTCACTGAACCCTTTTTCTCCACAATACTTTTTACATAATTGAGAGCTTTGTATTCATTGGCAGTCATTGTTACAGGGGACTTTTTTGTGGAAGATTTCGGAGAAGTTGCCTGGGTCCCAACAACAGGAGTGCTGTCCAAGCTCTTTGTATAGTCACTTTTCTCACTGCTGCGACTTGCCATCCCCCTTCCACGGCCGCGTGGCCTATCTGACAAATCACTGGAAAATCCATTCTGGACTGGTTTGTAATTTGATCTTCTGGAAGTCCTGGGAGCTGTGTTATCTTTCAGAGAGACAATCTCTTCGTGGACATCAAACACGTCAGAGTGTGCGGTTAAAAACTTCTTAAATTCACTCTGAGGACCAACAACATTACGGATATCCAAAGGTGCCTGGGAGAGATGGCCTGCCAGGCTTTTGATGGGGATCCATGTGTCCTCTTTTCTCATCATTTTCTGAGCAAAGTACTGGATGGCCTCTTTCTCAGCATCCCTGGGGGCCGGCTCAGAGCTGCCTCCACCACTCCCCCCTCCGCCACCAAGGCTCCCAAGTTCAGTGTTGGCACTCACCATGTTACCATTGACAGAAAACAAAGCTGGATACTTCAAAAGGAATCTCCGCAAGCCAGCCTCATTTCCACCAGCTGCCTGCCTCATTTCTGCTGAGAAGGATCGACTGCCGAATCTCCCGGCCAACTGACTGATGGTGAGAGCATTATCACTGTTCATCAAAATCTCTAAGAAGTACAGCATTGCTTTGTGGGAAGGCTCATCCCCTTCCATGGTCGCTGGCTTTTTTTACCCTGGAGACTTGTCGATCTTTAAGGCAAAAATTTGATGGCCTTGAAAGTTTCCCCTACCAAAGGCCTGTAAAGAGAAGGCAGAATAAAGTGAACATGAACTAACAGTTATGAAACATAAAGCCCATTTCATAAAAAAAGTTATAACTTTCACACTTTTACATGACAAAACATAAAGCAGTATGCCAATAGGCACTAGCCTGAGGCAGTTGCCCTCCAAAAAAGACATCAGGCTATTAAAAAAATTATAACACTAGCCTACTTTAAAACCTGATAGCCCAAAAGGGCTAGTAGCTTACCGAAAAGTTTTTGAAATAGACTGAATATTCAGAAATATATCACTGGAACTTAGGAAAGAGATTTTTCTGGCCCTACTGAAATATCAGTGAGTGTGTGCCAGCAGGCCAGTATCTTATTTAAATATGAAGTGCTGTTACAGAAGCTTCAATGCACCATCTAACAATTCACTTGATACTGAAAACCAACTAATTTCACTTGATTTTTCCAAACATTTTCATTATTCAAGATTAATAGTTTTTACTCATTTCAGAAAAAAAAACTATTAAAAATAATTTTCAAACCAATAATTCTCAACAATCATGAGAGAAACATAGTCAATTTATTGTTTGAATTTAAAGGGATACCAACTGTTTGAGATTCACATTTCAAAATAAATACATGTTAAACAACTCATATAATTAATTCCATTTACCACCAAAACAGCAGTTATAACAATTATTCTAGAATGTGTGCTTGCCACCAGACCACGTGGATTTCAAAGATGGCAAAACTTCTCTTAGGAGATTATTACAAAAAAACCAAACTTTTAAGAAATACCCCATGGGTTAACTTTGAAAGTCAGAATGGATTAATAAACTATTGGGTTGTTTACTCAAGGAAAACCCTATTTTGGCTAAAACAAACAGTTGCTATCCCTTAAACATAAAATCAACATAACCCTGGCCACATTCACAACCAAAGTTAATCTACAGACTAACAGATCTGCAGATCAAATATGGCCAGCCCACTTGAAAGCTTGCCGTGTGATCCCCACAGGGAATCTTTTCAGTGTCTATTAGGGGATTATGCAGCAAGCCTTCAAGTAGGCCAGCCATATTTGATCCGCAGATTAGTTAGTCTGTGGATTAACTTGTTCTGAATGTGCCTATAGTCTTACTCACTAAAGCCTACTTAGTTCAATGTCAGCTCCAGCTTGTAGAATCTATAAATCTATTCTATTTTGTGATGGAATTTGCCATAATTATAGGAACCTTTCTCTGGAATCCCCAGAAGCTAAAAAACAATCTCATATCTCAGCCTCCAGGTATTTGCTGTAATTTATGCTCATCTAATTATCCCTTCAACAGCTCAGCCTCAGGTACTTGCAGTTTCGTATAAAGAAATGTTCACCAAATCTGAATAAAACTATTTTCTCTTTATTCACTAACAATGAACACACTATCAAAAGATTAAGGATTCGAAAGTCATGAAAGGTTATTTGTTTCTGTCAGATAACACATTTTTGAGTAAGTGGAAGACAATAAATATTTCATAACTTTATATTGTAAGATATTGCTACTTTAGAGAGGCAGCTGAAGTTCATGTAATTCAATATGTTTTGGTATGGCATATACAAAATAAGAAAACCATGATATACTTGTTTTATTTACTCTCTTTACGCTCTGAAACACATCAAAAGGTTAAAAACATCTGTTGTTATTATACTACATAAATATTATGATATTATATCTAACCAATGCCAACAATAAAGCTCCCCACATTCTCCAGAACTAATGTCAATTGTAATGCACATCATATGCATTGGTTATATGTTTAAAACTCACAGGAACTCAGGGTATAATGAAGTGACTCATATATATATATATTCTTCTGTATGTTCACAGCCAAATCCCTGGGCAGTTTTCTATTCACTTCAAACAGACCCGAATAATCATGTTGATAAATACAGCTGTTATATTTCTGCTATAGAGCTCAATTGTTTCATTCAAACTATTGGCTGTTACGTGTGTTGCAAAAATAAATACCAACAATAATTCATTCAATCTTTTCTAAAAACTTAGAGCAAATTAAAGGTGAATTAAACCTAAAAGACCTAGAACTTGAGCCCGACTGGCTTTCAGATAGGTTTAAATGAAAAATGCTTTAAAACCAAGGTATGAAATCAGACACTTGATTACAATCCCCTGCCTTACAATACCTCTGACATCTGAAAGATCAGGCACAGGGTTGGACAACCATTTCCTAAGTTTGGCCTGCAACATTTTGAATTATAACATATTTTAATATTTTATTAAAAAGCACATCTCAAGAGCATATTAAATACTTTTTTAGCTTAAACCGAAGAAATTCATTTTTGTGAACATAAAATACAATGTCACAAGTACAGAAGTTAGGGAGTAAAAACAGGCAGAACTTGTCATTAAAATTCAAAGTAGTTATAGATCAATTTAGTAACTTTTCAATACAAGGCAATGGCTATAGATGTCTTACTGGTGATAAAAAACCCACAATATTTCAGTTTTATATGCCAAAAGGTACAATATTATATCTTGTCTGCATAAATGTCTGGTAAAAAATCAATTTATAGTATTTCTCAAGCTACTGGCAAAAGAACTAACAATTTCATTGAAATTGCTCTAACAAAACTTTTCAATATAGTTAAGGTTGCCAAATATAAAGGGCACTGGTAACATGGATTTCAGAAAAAATGATGTATCTTTGGATATACAGATATAGAATGAAATATAGCTTTCACTTTTAAATGTTTCTCTTATAAAACAAATATAATTGCAAAGTTCCAATATCAAATATTTATTGATTCTTGTCTCTTTTATTCATTTTCTTTTGGAGTGAAGAAATTTACAGAAATAATAATAATTTTTTTAATATTAAAAAAAAGTCATTTGTCAAAAATGCACACTAAAAGATTTTGATATATATATTATACCTACGTATGTTTCTGTAAGTCTGCTGTTCTGTACATTGATCCCATGAGTCTGATTATTCACACAGCACTATGTGCTGGCATACCAAAATGCCATCAGATACAGATTTATATAGTGCCCCGAGTTTCAAGAGTTTGTTTGGACTTCATGGTTATAATTAGTATACCCCGTAGCTCCTCACTGTACAGCTGTATTCTATATGTCTACTGATTCTGTCCTGACAATTGCAAATTTTGCAATATAAAAGGAGCAATTTAAAGATCTCACCTTCCAGATCTTTACCTTCCACAGCTAGATACATAAGTTCAATCACTCATTTTCAAGATCCTGACTTTCAGGGAACAAGCCCTGTAATAGCCAGACGCTGATATTATAAGAAACATAAAACCAACTCACAGATGTGAGGATCTGATATAAAAACTGAAATACAGACTCACAAAGCACATATCAGCAGTACTGGTAAATTAACTAACACAAGAAACAAACCTATAGGATAATATCATTATGGTTGATGTACCCTTGGCATCAGAGTAATGATTGTATCTTACCCCTACCTGGCATAGTGTTTCTACATTTAGTGGCAGAAGTATACTTATCACAAGAATGGGTTGCATAGTTCACTGGATACTTAGCCATACTATCAGCATACTAGTGCAGTACCTTTGCAGGGGCCAGTAGAGAGAGAGTGTGTGGAGTACTCTTGACACAGCAGGATGAGATAATGCTGCCTGTGGTACACATAATCTTTGTTTATTTTGTATTGCATCATTTTGTCTTGGACATGTTTATCTACAGTCTTATTTTGTCTCAAAAACTATAATCTAAAGCCAGTGACTTCTGAAAGCAGGTGCTGTCTGCAAAACATATACAGTAGTCTACAGCTTGAGGTAATCAGTGATCGAGGAAAAAGAAATACATTCTTTTTCCTATCAACCTCCAGCTGGGTTAGGTATAACAGGCATCCACAGTGGATCATGCCAGCTCAACTTTCATCAACACTCAACATCCTCCTAGACCTAATATACATGCATAACATACACATGCATAATTTATCAATAACCCTGTAACTACCTTATATATGCAAATAATTCATTCTGAATTTCTGAACTGGCAAATGAAATGGTACTGTAAACTGTATGCACAAATCTTCACAAATATCCAGTATATCTTCTTAATCTGTTTTAATTTTTTTTCAGCTTAGCTCCTGTGCCAGCCTTAATTACAGTTAAAACTCCTAGTTAATCTATATCTATTTTTAAATTTCTATATCTAAATGTATCCCACCTGTCTAAAAAATCTCTATCACTTAAATCCAGCTTTACTCACAGCATTTTTGAACCATATGTACTACTCAAGAATTTTTACTGAAATGTAACAAATTAAGTTTGTTTGAATTTTATTTTATGTAGTAGTTTTTACAGAGAGAGAGAGAGAGAGAGAGAGAGAGAGAGAGAGAGAGAGAGAGAGAGAGAGAGAGAATACTGAATAAAAGGAATGTCAAATGTCACATAGCAGCATGTATAGATCTTAATCTGCCAATGGTGCCTCACTGTTACTAGTTTACCATGGTTGATGGCAAGCCCAAGTTCATGACACATAAAGCACAGCCACATACGGTTTCAATTACACTTTGCATTTTGTTACTTCTACTTTTTCCTTCTTCTTTATCAAGCTTTTAAAAGTTTTCATTACAAAATTTGAAATAAAATCACAGGAATATAAAGGATGAGTATTGAATATCTGTAGGCTACAAAACTTAGCAAAGGAATGTATCAGACATATCTACCTGTGGTTGGAATGCGTAACTGATGGGTCTGTCCACTGACCACGCATCAGCTACCATGCTTCTCATGTCTACAGCTATGAAACTGAGTTCAAATTGTTCAAAACTACTAGAAACCTCATTGCCATCCACTTTTATTTATTTATTTATCAGCTGATTCACTCATTTATTCATTTATGAAGCAAACTAGGTTTAAGTTCAACTTAATGATAACATAGCTAAGGAAAAACACACATACACACAAAAATTGTAACCAAAAACTTAAGACCAAAGTCCTTACTGTGTGAATGATTTTATGCAGTTAATTTATGTTGATGCATATTCATAGTTTGATTCGTGTGTGTAATTTTGAAAAGAGTGCCTGTACTGTACTGTACTGTACTGGGGTATATGAAATATGCATAAATAACAATGCTAGCATTGAATTATGACAATGCGCACACAACTGTTCCTGTTCAGTAACTGCATTCTAATGATCTCATTAAACTCTGTGACTGTGTTCCCATTAGATTGAAGTAAAAGTCAAGTTTTGAACTGAATATTCTGTCGTAAAATAAGTAAGAAATGAATGTTTGGCATGGTCTATGCTGGCAATTTACAGACGCAACAGCAGTCTCTATTATTTAGGATGAATTTACTGGGTATATCTAGACATATACAGAATGTATATTTACTTTTTTCATTTAATTCTATCCATCTATTTATCATTTTTTATTAAATTATTTCATTAGCAACATCAAACGTTACACTATTCAATATTTCATTGACAGTGAGGCCACAGCCATATCAACAATAATGCTGTTTTGGCCTACATTACCAAAGGCCGTCAATGCAACAGATACATATACGCACTTAACGTACTTCAAGATCTCAGGTTCAGCTGTTCAATGGGGCTGTCCTGCACAGTTATAAACGTCTATGCTACTGGCTCTGCGGTTTGTACTTGCCAAATAAGTCAATACAAGTTATATTAACTGGTATCTTAAAATGTAGTCATAAATGCCGTGAAAAAAGTACCTTATCGAGGCTTTGAAGTTTTTTCTTCAAGACCATTACTCACCAGAAATAATCTAATGTTCTGAAATGGCGAAGGCCCATCGAAAATGTGAAGAATCCTTCACACCCTAGTTCTACTAATGCCAAGTTGTGTTTACCCACAATGCTTAGCGATGACCTACTACGCTCGCGCATTGACGACCCGCCATTTTGGAAATAGATTGAATATTTGAAAAGGTGAGTAAAGGCCTCAGGTAATAACTTGTTGTACGTTGTTGCGATGAGGTCAGTCCGAATGCAGTTTATATCATTTGAATGAGGAGATAATACATGCGGTTTTGATTCTTTAGGATTTCTCGGATTCACCTCATTCTTGCAGCTTCTTTCTCTGTGCAAGTGAAATTAGGTCAGGAAGCCGGCAACTTCAGTTGTCTTGAATACTATTGAATTTGAAATCGATAAACAACTTATGCAAACGCATTAAATGTATTATGTAACAGAGTATTGTTTTAGCTCTACCTGCATATCACTTAAACTTGTCTAGCTTCTAAACAACGAAAAGAAGCATTTTCTAACTCCGGTCCATTCGGCCCCCAATGCCAGTGACAGTGTGAGAACTGAGATGTACTGCCACTGGATCTTTCTTTCATTACTGCACATTGCCTACTTTATATGTAGACTATATGTGTGTTATTATACACTACAACTGTTTGCGACTTTTCTTGCTATTTGATCAGAACTCTACCTCAATTCTGATCTATTATTAAATTATTATTATTAGCTTTAAATTTTTAACTGTCTTTTTGAGTTGGAACTTGTATTATAACTTTTGTCACTGTGCATGTGGCACCTTGATACAGACCCACATGAATAGGTTTGCTTGTTTGACACCCAGTTGTTGGAAAATGCTTGAAGTCCAGAGAGTAAAGTGCCCTTTATCTATGGGTAGAGGCTGATATTGGAAATGTTCCTCTCGTTGTTTACACTTGGCTCCATCACGTATACTTATCAATACTTAAGTGCTCATTATATATATATATATAATAGATGATTTTGGTACCTATTTATTATATATATATATATATATATATTGGTTTAAAACCAGAACCACTATCGGGCTTAAAAGTTTATTAAACTACATAAAAGTTTACATAAAATTACATAACTACAGTAAACGTTAACTACTTCAACACAGTACATCAACCCGTATGTTAATGAGTTGCAACCCTTAGATACAGGTAGCAATGTTGCTTCACACTAACTTACCTATGTCTGGTGCACAAGTTCATACAAAAAGACTGCTAGTATACTACATAGCTTGAGAAATACGACTTTGATAAAATAAAATTTGGGATTATTAATCAAATACTTTTCATGGTACTATTCATTTTATGGGTAACTAGTTATTTCACTGCAATGACCCTAGGTCAGGGTATGTTACATTCATACTATTTCGTCACAAATGTATCTGAATATCTCTCTTCAGGAGCAGTTGAATAGCAGACAGATGTAGTTCTTTAAAAAAGAGAATGTTTTGGATATTTTACTCTGTCTATACTGCTGTCTACTATGGCAGTATAGACTTTATGGTGTTCTTGCTGGTGGATCTTGTGGCTAAGACACCACTCAAAGAAGCAAGGTATGTATGATTCAAAACACATACCATAGTTTGTGAGAAAATAAATGGCCAGTTAGAGCACTGTGCCCAATTTGATGGAACTATTTATTCACAAATAAAAGACCTAACTCTACAGAATGTGTTTAAAATTTATCTGTTTTCATATATTATCACTGTTTTGTGGCTGAATGTGTTTAAAAGTCTGCAGTATTATATATTCATCATAGAATGTTGATGTCATACCTTTAAACTTCCCTTCTGAAAAGTTTGCTATATTGCCGTACAGTGTATTAATTAAGGGTCAAAACACGGTAACGGTGCCATGGGTGTCAAATTTTTTTTTGTTTCATTGAAATTTAAAACTTTTACATTTTTGTAGAAAACAAATCAAATTTTCAGACAAAGTAAGTTTCATTGATATACTCCCAGTACTTTTTCGGTGAGCCACTGGGAAACATAAAGGAAAAAAAAAATTGTCTCTGACGGGACACATGGTCATATTGGCCTGAGTCAGATATTAGGTTGTTTTTTCAAGTTTTTATCACCCAAATATGTTGAACTAATCAGAAGTAATAGTTTAACATAGAAAACTGCCACTTTTCACTTATTTTGAGTAAAAAATTATTTAGCACTAGGCGTGGTGTGTCCCGTCAGAGACATTTGACTTCGAAAAGTTTTCATATTTTCCACATCTGGTAGGTTGTATAAATGAAACTTAAAATCCTCTTTTAAATAATGATAAGTAATGATTATAGCTAAAAATTACAAAATTAAAACAATTTACAGTGAAATTATTGCCAAATTTTATCATTGTCTCTGACGGGACATTTTCTGTCTCTGACGGGACATTTTCTGACAGATGTGAAACATAAGGTTTTACATCTTCAATTGAATCATTTTCAAGTGTTCTGGTGTGTTACATTTCTTATTTTTCTTTTGCAACTGATCATTACTGGGTAATTCATTAACCATTATTGATTATTAGCTAGGTTGACTGTCAGTGATTAGGTGTTGACATGTGCCGTCAGAGATCATGTCAGAGCACTAGAACTGTGAGCATGTGCATGATTTAGAACAGAGTCTGAAGGAGACCTCCAGCTCCAACCATATGTTGTGGTATCTGATGATCTGCACAATAACAAACAGTCCGTCTTCACTTGTAATAAGGCCATTCTCGTAGACCTCCAACACCAGCAATCATTCAGCAAAGTCCATTACTGGTCAGATGGAGCCGGAACCCCCAGTCAATTCAAAAGTTGGTTTTTACTGTCTAAACATGGTGCTATCATGAAAGAGTATGGAAGTGCAGTGGTACTTTTTATACCACTGCCCATGGCAAAGGACCAGTGGATGGGGTTGTAGGAGAAATGAAACATCAGGTTTGGAGAGCAGTGCTCCAGAGAAAAATGGTTGTAGATACACCTTATCAATTCTGTTTGGCTGGCAAAGAATTATGCCCCAATGTCAACGTAATGTACCTGTCTGCAGCAGATATTGTAGCAGCTACCGCGCCCATCAGCAGTTGCTTGGAAAACTGTCCATCTGTTCCAGGAATTCAACACTTCCAACAGCTTCAGCCCCAGCCCCGTGGACATGTTCTTGTGTCAACCAATTCTCAGTACCAGCAACCCTCTTAATATGCTAAACTTATTCATGACTGTGGACTTTGATTTGCCTGCACATCCGCACTATGACAATGTCATTCAAGGCACAGCTCAGTCTCACCAGGGAGATTTTGTCATTGCGGAGTTTGCTGCCAGGAAAGGAGTAAAACAATTCTTAGGTCAGGTCACCCGTGACACTGAAGATGGCAAAGTGGAAGTCAGTTTCTTACGTACTGAAGGTTCTGGCAAAAGAATCTTTGTGTACCCTGCCACAGAAGACAAAGCATGGATTCCCATAAAAGATGCCAAGGAAGTCCTTCCAATGCCTAGCATAGACACTCGTGGACTTTACTTGTTTCCATCACCTGTTAATGTGACTGGTTGAAAAAAAATCTCTATAGTGCAAAAAAGATATGTGTTCTAAGACTAATTGAAAAACAGGAATTATTATGTGAACTATCATGGACAGTGTTGATTGATATTGAGAAATAGCAGTAATGGACAGTGGATTACTTGTACGAGAAAATTATACTGTGCCTTATCACTGTGTCATGATAATTAATTAATATTATAAACATATTGCATCTGGGGATTTTTCTAATGTACAGAAATGCTATTTTGCAATAACCATCAAGTATGATTCATTAGATACAAAAATGTGGCTTTTTAAACCTCTTTTCTAAGATTTTTCAACAGTGCCCAAAAGTGTCCCGTCAGAGACGTCCCGTCAGAGACAGTGACTTTTTATGTACAGACACAGATGTGTCTGTACATNACACACACACACACACAATATTGTGCCAGCAGAGACTGAATTTAGATCTGTATGAGAATATATATTAAGACTTTGAATTTGTGTTTGCAGAGATGATGGGGAGAAGAGGCTGGTGTGGTTGTATGAGGCCCTTGCCTTGATGTTCTTCAGTGTTGTTGTATACATCATAGATCATGTGCCATACCTCCTCTTTACTCTGGCGGTGCTTACACTCCTCTACACACAAGTGCACGGACGTGTGGATTTCCGCGATCTCTGGATACAGCTCACCACAAGGTGGGATGAATTCCAGCAGCACGAGGAGAGCATGGAGCAGATGCGAAGGGAGCAAGTACGACAGACAGAAGGGCAGTTCATGATGACCAGCTCCCCAATAGCCACTCCTCCCCTGCACATGGTTTCTCAGGCAGACCCCTTTCCAAATGTCAGTCCTATAGCCAGTGCAGCAGCCTGGAATAATGTGGATACCCCTGGGAATAGATTCATGCACCCCCTCCCTCCACAGTTGAGATTCAATAGCCCCAGTGGTCCATCAGTGACAGGGATGTCACCACAGGGAACAGTGCTGCCATCTCCACAGCAGCAAGACCCAGGGTTCCCTGTGGTATCAGAACCTTTCTCCTCAGGGCAGCAGTTCTACTCTAGGCTTCCCACAAACTATGCATTTGCTAACATGAATCACAACAGCAGGTTCCAGAATCAAAACCCAAGCATGTCAGCGCGACTGCCCACAGTCATGCCAAAGAGACTGGTCAATAAAATTCACACAGGGTATGGGGACATGGACCCAAAAGTTGGTAAAACTCAATCAGGTGCTCTCTCACGGGTCATGAATGTGTTGGGACTGGGAAAATATAGGACAACTCCTCCAGGACTGAGGAATGACAGCAAAAGTATATGTTTTATGAATGCTGTGTTGCAGTGTCTTGCCAGAAGCCCGAAGCTCCCCGAATCTCTGGGCAATATCAGTCAGGATGATATAGAGAGGAGGAAGAGGAAGGCCAGTCTGGCTGAGACCACCCTGTTAGAGTCTATTAAAGAACTGCTGCATGAGCTCAATGTTCAGCCAGGTCAGTAAATTGGCAAAGAGGTAGAGAGATCTGAAGAGAAACTTTTAGTAATAGGTATAGCAAATGATTTTGCTTCTTTTCCTGTTCAAGGCTTAAAAGTTTGTTATGAAGACAGTGATTTGCTTTTGTCATTTTATTTAGAAGTCATTTTATGTAATATTTTTGGCAAAAAGAAAAAAAATCTTCTTAAACTGTTAACTCCATTGTTGTGTTGAAGCGAAGAATGCATTTCTTACACTTTGCAAATTTTTCATTACTAGTACATAATTTAAAAACTGGCAACAGTTTTGACTGTCTAGCCATGACAAGACCATGAGATATGGTGTCCACATTTGGTCAAGTTCAGTTTCATGGGACCACATCCTACTCTTTTCACAGATGGTAACAGCAGAGAATGTCCAGACATAACAAGACTACGGGAGGCAGCGTCGTCTTTGACAGACTTGGTTGCAAGTCCCAGCAACCAGGACGCCCAGCAGCAGCAGGACACGGCAGAGTTTCTAACATGGCTGCTGTCAACACTTCACCAGGTGCTGAACAAGACTGGAGACCAAGGTAAGCTGGTCTTGACAGTACTATGTCCTTGCCAGTGTTGGTGCTTACAAATGTCCATGTGTCACTAAATCTTAATTTTGGCACCTCTGCAGTTGTGCCTCTTGGATTTTTGTTGCAATTTAGCTTTGTGAGCACTGCATGTGGTGGGTTTAAGTAGTGAAGCATACCTTTTATCTTATAGATAATCTTTTTATAGGATATATATGAAGAATATTTCAGAATGTTTGGACATGTACTTTACAGTTTTTTTAATCTTATTTATATAGTATTTGGTAGCTTACACGATTATGTTAAATATACTAATAAAACTAAAATTCAATGATTTATAAGGAATTTACAGATGATTAATTCAAATAAGCCAAGAAACAGTGTCCTTCTCCTCTTAAGAAATTAGTTTATTTATTTGTTTATTTATTTATTTTTTATTTATTTATTTATTTTTTTGTCATCATTTTATGGTTTTAAACTTGTTCATTTATATGTGCTGTTCTCAAAAGATTATAACTACAAGCAATTCTGTATATATAGGTGGTTCCCAGGCAGACCAGTTTATGAGCCCAGCTTTAGCTATGCTGAAGTTCATTTATGGAGATCTGAATGAAAGAAGAATAGAGGAGTTGAAAGGTGCATGCAGGAGAGAGGTTAGCAAACAGAAAGTCTGATTGAAAAATGCTGAAGTGATATTATATACTCTGCCCTCGTGTTCTGCCGTTCTGTTTGGCGTTTTCTTATTAGATACTGTGTTTAAATCTCTGAAAAAAACTGAAATACTAATTGCAAAATGAAATGCACTCGAGAATTCATTACTATATTTTCTTTGCAAAACTGTTAGCAGTAATTCTAGTTAGGAACCAACATTCAGAATTCTTTTGTTGAAACTCGTGTCAGAAAAAGCAACACTCGCCCTTTTACTGCCTCTTCAAAGACATAAAATTTCATCGCAAATCTTCTACAGGCTAGTTTTTATTACTAAGATATTTTTCAAAACTCATTTATTCATCATTTATGTTCACAGATATCCATAGCTCATGGTCTGGACAACAACACCTACGCAGAACCCATCCAGAGGCTGTCTGACCTTGAGTGGCTGACCTACAAACAGGCTAATACCTCTCCAGTGGACGACCTGTTCTCTGGTCAGCTTGTGGAGGCCCAACACTGTGTGGAATGTAACCACATCTCAGTGAATATTCAGCCCTTTAACATCCTCCCAGTGCCCCTGGTGGCTCCCAGGGAACTCACAGGGTTGGTCTATCTGGAGGACTGTTTTACCAAGTTTGGTAATGTAGAGAAACTTTACGGTGTGAACGGACTGAGGTGTCCTTGTACTCATACTGTACAAGAAGCTGAGAAGACTAAGCCATTGAATTTGGTCTCCCATACCCAGCAGAGGAATGTTGATCATGATTTGCGTAGGAGGGTGATATCTGATTCTGTGCTCAGGTCTCCATTGAACGCTTCTAGTCTTGTGACACCCATACGCGGAAGAGAGGGTAGTATAAACCCCTTGTCAGACAGTGGATTTCATGATAATAACCACTTAAAGACGTCCACTCCCATTGGAGACAATGTATTCAATTTTGACCTTAACCGAGATCGAGTGAGACTAACTGATGGTCAAAGACGATCATTACTACGTCAGTTGCCAGAGTGCTTGGTGATCCAGATATTAAGGTTCAGATTTGACTCTGAGGTCCAGGATGCTTGTAAGGACTCCTCACCTTTAAGTGTTCCTCTCTCAGGATTGGACTTAACACATATTATATTTGACACAGTGGCTAACAGGGAAGACTTGACCAGTGGAGATTTAGGCTATCGCTATGACCTTTATGGAATGTGCCTCCATGTTGGGGGTCAAAACACAAACTATGGCCACTATGTGGCCTATGCTCAGGCCTCTGATGGTCTCTGGTATAAGTTTGATGACGAGAGTGTCAGTCAGATCAGCATTGACTATGAACTGACCACAAAGTTTGTGCGAGAGAATGCTTATATCTTGTTTTACAGAAGAAATGTGACTGGGCAGTGAAATTGAGTGTGTTACCTTCTGTAGGACTTATATTTTCTTTCAATAAGCTTTTTTTTTCCAAACAAGAAATTGTTAAAGAAATATTTTCTTCACTGTTACTTATCTTTGTCATTGTTTAATTTTCATTACAAAATTTAACTTTAACATTGAATTTGTTATATTATGACGTCTGAATGAAATGATTTTACTTTTCATTAAGATTGAAAATTTTTTGTCTACAGAATTAATGCAAGATAAATGATGCCAAAATTATGTGAATGAAACTGCCCATTTACATTTATTGCTATGTATATAGTCTGGCCCAAGGTTATTGTCACAATGTATTATGAATTCGCTTTTTTGATGTATATAAAACTGGTTTAAAGTCATCTTCAAAGGCAGCATGACATTACTCAGTCATCTTTATATTGATTCTTCACATTCTACCCATTTGTACATTTCCTAGTCCATTGTTATCATTCAGTCCACGTGATGTCATTGTATTATATAGTAATACACATAGTCAAAGAGATTAATTGAGTACGGATCTTTTTAAAGAATGTTGATATATGGGGCACATTTTATAATTTACATTTGAAAACCACAGTTCAGTATTGAAGAAAGCATCAATATTGCCTTTATCCTAAAGTTACTTGCTTGGTTATTTAAGGTGAAAAACTTCCAGATTGATCTGGATATTTGGTTGTTGTATTTATACCAGTCCCCAACCTAAATTAGAGCTATTTGTCTATGGAGCTTAGATTTTTTTAAAGGTCCTCTTTCTTCTCTGAATGGCCTAAGTGTGTTGCAAGTTGGCTCTTGGTTGCTGTTATTGTCACATCCCATGAACATTAACCTAGCACAACGCATTAAAAACCTGCAGCTTTCTTCTTGACTTTGATATATCAAATTAATTTCAGAGGAGTGAGAGCCAATAATTGGTGTGAAATGCACCTGTGCAACAAATTTTAATTGTGTCATACATTTTTCACTTCATATTCAGTGTCAACTGTGCTCTATTATATTCATGTGGAATGTATCCGGGTGTATTTACCTAAATCTATTTTTGAATACACAGTTTTTTATACAACTAAATTATAAAGTTTTAACACTTTTGGCATGTTTCCGTTAATTTGATGAATGGAAACTGTCGCCAAGCATTTGTTTTAAGCAGTCAAATGTGATGAAAGTGTGTAGTCAGATAAATTGAAAGATGAGTTAAGAAATATAAACTGTATTTGGGATTTACGGAAAAAATGTTAAGGTGCATATTTTTTTGTTATCCCAAGTTGCTAAAATTTTGTTTTGGATATGAAGAGTGGTTTTGGGGGTCAGGACTTTGAAAGTGGGCTTTGTTGACTGCATTGTAAAAGTAAGAATTATTTATTTGAGTCATCATATTTACGAGAATGTTTGCTTGTCATTTCCTGTAACATGGAAATTTTGTCTCTTAAAGCCATATCCAAATCCAATAATGTCCATTAGACGATACCTCTACCAGTACCATTACATATATAATTATAGACTAAAGCAGACTCATAAAATGCAGAAGTTTTTTGTTATTTGTTTTTTTTTTTTTTTTTTTTTCAGATCTCAGATTAGTGCCACTTCTTTGCACCCTGAGCTTCAGAGATAACTTGACACTAACCTCTTCACAATAGCCTATCTTCATCGTGTCAAGTTACGTAACTTGACACGATGAAGATAGGCTATTGTGAAGAGGTTGGTGTCAAGTTATCTCTGAAGCTCAGGGTGCTTCTTTGAGGTCCTCAAAATAATATATTGACAGAAAGAAAGTCTGCATTTTTTAAATTAAATAATTCAATACCAGAATACCACTTTCTCCAAGAAAACAGCTGCAACTTTACAGTCATCTGACCTTGATGTCGTCAGATGGATATATGTGCTTTTCTGTTATTTACATATTAAAAGCTTTAATGGCATTACTTAATCATGGCGATGTGCAACAAAGCAGTAAGAAAGTAAGTGGACAATTTTGTGCAGTAGTTTATAAGAATAGAAATTGTAAATAAATACTTTTACAAGCTCAGACATTTTACAGGAATTGTGAAGAAATAAAAAAAAAACATTAACATTACTTTACAACGTCTATTTTAATAACAAAGTGGATATTATGTTAATATTCACATTCACTGATACTGGAGGTAGATCAGCGAGATGGGTGATGAGTTAACTTGACCTATATTTAAGGTAGTACTTCGCGGACACTTTTCATTGGTTTGCATAAGGATCCTTCCGCCTTTACCCATTTAATGATAATTGCTGAACTAATTTACGTAGATTTGACAAAAAATAGTAGAGTACTATTAGATGATATATCTTTAAGGTGATCTAGCGTGGATTTGTAGTAAAATTTATTTTCTTTGGAACTATTTCATAGCGCATACAAGTGTTCCGGAAGCAGGAAGCAGCACTGCCACCATAACTAGGTCAGTGTGATGGAAATATAGGTAAAACAGTAATGGATGCAAAAGACTCGGCGGCATGTCTCTTGTTAGTTTTTATGTTTTTATGTTACTCAAACAGCATACCAAACTCAAGAAAATTTTGGGAATTCCCGAGGGATCGCTATAGCTACTTTTCTGAGAAAGAAAGACTTGAGATGCGAGACAAGGCCAAACAGATGTTCTATTTTGGCTACGATAACTACATGAAATACGCGTTCCCAGAGGATGAGTTAAATCCTGTGTTTTGTACGGGACGCGGTCCTGATCACGACAATCCGTGAGTATTTAACATTAATTTAAATGTTATACATTTATTATTGTACACCAAGTTTCACTGTATGCCTGGATATATTTATTTTGCATTCATCTTCTGGATCACCAAATAGCAGTACGTATGTTTGTAGCTTCCATCAGAACTAATATATGATTCAATATTTTCTGTTTGTGCTAGCTTGTAAAAAAACGAGTAATATCTTTATGACAGTATCCCAGTGAATTATTGATGTGGTGTGAAGTTAGTTCCTTTTTTATTCACATTGTACCCTTGAAAAAAGAAATGACATTATAGACTCTATTGATCTCATAAACGCAGATAAAACTTTTGTCAAAATTGAGAATATTTTAAGAAATTTTTATCTTGATTGTAGATAATTAGAAATATTCTTGGAAACTTTGGAAATATTTCATTTCTCATACATCTAGATACACTTTTAAGCTATTTGTTTTATATATGTGATAGGATACAGCAAAAACATTTCTTTATTTTTTCAGTTCAAACATCAATATTAACGACATATTGGGAGACTTCTCTCTTACACTTATTGATGCACTGGATACTTTGGCAGTAAGTGAAATCATAGACAGATAACTTACCTCTGGCACTCTTTGTAATATAAGCTGCCTTAAAGATAAATTTATCTTGCATTAAATTAATGTAATTACTACTTGTAACTGAATCAAGCAAAATTGATTTGTTACATTTCTATACCATTTCAGTAAGTAGATTATATGGTTCAAAAGTCCTGTGTGTGTTATACACCAAGTCTATCTTAGGGCTAGAAGTTAAGTCTTACATACTTATTTGTGCGCAATCTATCGATAAATAAAACTCAATGGTAAAGAAGTTATATTGTTTGCTGATAACTTGTGGCATGCAATTATTTAAGTAGTCAATTACAAGATATCTAATTTCAAACTTTTGTAAAGATATGTAAATTACTATCTCTCCTGTAATGGTTTTCTCTCAGAAACTGTTTGTGTATGCCATAGTATGATATACTATTTTAGGTAATGGGCAATTCCTCGGAGTTCAAAAGAGCAGTGCAGTTGGTGGTAGACAATGTGTCCTTCGAGAAAAATACCACAGTGCAGGTGTTTGAGGCGACAATAAGGTAACAAGAATGATGATAAGATAGTATAAAGATTATTTGTTTTCACTTTCTCACTTTCTCACAGCTTTCTCACAGCATTTTCTTTAAGCTTTATGCCAAAGTTAAATGGTGTCATCTTTGAGTGCATCTTGTTAAAATTAAACAAAAGGCAGAGCCGATTAAAATAAAGCAGATTCAAGGTTTACATATAAAATGGAAACTGAAGCATCTTGTTTGAATTTCTTTGCTGGGTGCCCTCATAACTGTGAGCTCATCTGGCATCTCATCCTGAATTATTTAGTGAGAACTCCTTTTGTTAAGGATGTTCGGTATGTTGATGACTTCTCAATATATGATAATGTTCTGTCTCTTGCAGATAGGGTGTAACATTTTAAGAAAATATTTGATTGTAACACTCCTTTAATTACTGCCCCCCCCCCCCAAACACACACACACACACACACACACACTGTTCCTGAAATTAAGATCTTAAACATTTATTTAAAATGAAGTGAAACTTGGTTTAAAGTTTATGGTACTGCATTTTATATACTTTGGCTTTCTTCATCCACTCATATAATGTCAAGTGTTGATAATTAAATTAAGCCAAAATTTTCAAAAATATTCTGGAGACCGTACTTGGGTGCAATGCTTTAGGGTGAAAAGGACCAGAAGAATATGAAAAATACATTTTTATGGAGTATTTTTACCCTTATTTATTATCTCCTCTGCTTTTCAAAGAATTGGTGATAATAAATTAGATAATTGAACAAACATGCAATCTTTAATTCAATTTGCAAAGGTATTTTTTATTTGGTTAACATTTGTTATAAGGTTTTTTACTTACTCTGCACTTGACATTTATAATGATCAGTTTTAAAATCAATTTGCAGTTGAAATATGGAATGACAGTTTCTTTTTTCAGCGAGAATTTGTAAATTATGCACCATTGGCAAAAGTTAACAATTTTTTACCATAGATATGTATTAAAACTTGTTTTCTTTGCAGGGTGATCGGAGGTCTTCTATCAGCCCATCTAATTATCACTGATGTAGAGCAGCCTTATGGTGACATGCGCATTCCAGACTATGACAATGAACTGTTGAGTTTAGCACATAATTTAGCTGCCAGATTACTACCGGCCTTTGAAGGGACAGCCACAGGGATCCCATATCCCAGGGTAAGGTTGGGGGGTTAAGGTCGCAGGTCAGGGTTGACCTATTCCAGCAGGACACTTGATTACATTCAGCTGGTCATAAACAGCCAAATGAACCACTTGTTTGTCCTGTTAGTTGCTGTCATTGTAAGTTCGTGGAGTGAGCTCATAGTAGCCAGACATCTGCTGGGATGCAGTGAAGAAAGTTAATTTAGGTTGGTCAAGCTTGCTAGGAGTATGGAGGCATAAGGCAGTTCTGGAGTGAGCTCATAGTAGCCAGACATCTGCTGGGATGCAGTGAAGAGAGTTAATTTAGGTTGGTCAAGCTTGCTAATAGTATGGAGGCATAAGGCAGTTAAAGGGATAATAACTCTTCGTATGAGATCTATATTTCACAATAAAAACATTGTGAATAACTCATAGAAATATAATATATTCTGTTTTACCACAAAAAGTGACAGTTATAGCTATTATTCTGATATCTGAGCTTGTCTTCAGACCACGTGACCATTGATGGCTATACTCTGTTATAATCTCTTAAGAGATTTAAACAAAAAACCAAACTTTTTAGAAAAAATCCATGGACTAACTTTGAATGTAAAAATGGATTCATTAACCATTGGTAAGTATGGGAAAATTGTTGTTTACTCCAGGAAAATTCATTTTTTGGCCGAAACGAAGAGTTATTATCCCTTTAAGGCATAAGTAAGATGCTTTCCAGCCGTCAACCTACACCTAAGATTCTGTGCTCTTTTGTGACGATTTTCAAATTTATAGTGATATGGTTCCTGCCAATGTTTCTGTGCAATAGACAAGATGTTTCCCCATTGTATGATGCCTGATGTTTCACTGACTCCTTACATGTCTAGTTTTTGAAGGACTTATTATATTTGCATGTTGTATGATAAAAGAGGCGGCAGTGACAGATATAATTGGTTTAGTTATATTTCTATATCCAATAATGAGAGCTGGCTTTAGGATAGATAGCATGACAGGCAACTCAGATAGGTTCATTTAAGTTAATGATGAAGTTCGCTATTTAATAACTATCCGTTCAGTCTATTATCACATGAAATAAGGCACCTAGGAGAAAAATTAGTTTGCATGAGTTGTGTATATATACTTGTAATTTGGTTTGAATAAAGACAGTGCATGTTTGGTACAATATTTCCTGTTGCATTGAAACATTTTCCTGGTAAGATGATTTAAAGTATAATAAAAATATTTAGGGAATTTGGTACGTGATACTCATTGTAAAATTTTGGCATATAACTAATCACATTGACCAGAGATAAAACATTGTTTTGCCTTTAAATTTGGGAATGAAAAGCCATTGAGTATCATATTGACACTTGTATTTATACAACCTATATTATATATATGTCCATTCCAGGTCAACCTGAAGACAGGTGTCCCTGTGGCCTGCAGTAATGAGACATGCACTGCGGGGGCAGGTACCCTGCTGGTGGAGTTTGGAGTTCTTAGTATCTTATTAGAAGACCCTACTTATGAAGCTGCTGCACGCAGGGCGCTGAAAGCAATCTGGGGGTTCAGGTCTAATGTTACTGGTTTATTGGGTGAGGTTTTTTAGTTTTGCTCAGTAAATTAATAATCAAACTAAATGGATTATGATTAAAATTTGTTTTAAAGAAGTATTTATATTATGCTTTGAATAGCAAGTAGCAATGAACAAGGATAAGGATTTTTTCCATCGTTTTGTGCACATCTAATCAAAGATATAAAGATGAGTCCTGGCTTAATTTCATCACCTTTTTAACAACTGTGCATTTACTTTGCATTTTGATATCTTCAGTTGTAGCAGGTGTAGATTCCCTGTAAAGCATATAAATCACTTGTACCAGTCTCTTAAATGACTCAAAACAGTCCACATGTCAAACAAATTGCTCAGTCATTCCCCTCCCCCCCCCCTCCCCAAAAAAAAAAAAAATTAAACTGCGCCTTCAAATTTCTGGTTATAAATTTGACCCAATTATCTGCCCCTCCAGTCTGTAAAAGTCAACCAAATGACACAGTAATGTAGAACTCATTACTTTAGATAATTTTGTTTCAATTTTGCATTCTTTTGGAATAATTTTTAGTTTTTTCTCCAAACCTGTGGAATTCAAGTTGTATTCACCATTTCGATCTACAAAAGAGCATGATTCTCTGGGTTCTCTCACTTCTCCACTCCCCCTTCCTCTCCCCCCCCCCCCCCCCCCCTCCCCACTGTTCCACCCCCATACCCTTCATATCTTCCTATGGAACCTTTATATCATGTATGTGAAACTTTGATAATAAGTATTTCCTGCCAACTTTCAGGTAATGTAATCAACATCCAGACTGGACAGTGGCCAGGCTACATGAGTGGCGTGGGGGCAGGACTTGACTCTTTCTTTGAATATTTACTCAAAGTAAGACATACATTTTGTTTGTCAAAATCTTTAAATTAGTCATTTTATCAAATATGTACCCAGATAGAGGTATCAGGTCTTTATATATGCTTCTTATTATTTTTTTTACATATTTTGCTTTTCAAGTTTGATTCTGTTTCTTATTTTGTTGTTATAAAGTTTACAATGAGCATTAGAAACTTTCTAGCTATTGTAAACATTAAAATTAAATGTTGCATTTTTTATTAATTTAAAATTCAATCTAAAATTTCACAGGAATTATATTATTATATCTGTCATTATTTAAGTTTAAGTGTAAAGTTGAAGTCATTAAATTTTGTTATCATGATAGCCAGAGTTTCCAAGCAAATTGGGGCCCCAACTTCTCCATTTTCAAATTTTCATACATGCCTGCTTGTCACATGTGAACTTAAAAAGTGATTCATGGAAGTTTACTGTGGAAATCACAAATGTAACATTTATTAGCTATATCACATGACCTTTTACAACACTACAAAAATCTGGATATTACTTAGTCAGTAAATGTGGTTTTGTGATTGGTGAGAGTCAGTCAAACTTGCCACTGAAGTAAGTGTGCGGATGAGTGAAGGTGTGGAGGAGTGAAGAGCCTGCTACACATTTCACCTTTACTTGAGAGTATACCACAGTCCACAATATAATTGGCTTGTCATTATTTTTTAGGCCTTTATTCTGTTTGGAGATGAAAATGCTCAGATGATGTTTAATGAATCTTATGAAAGCATCAAGTACCATATCAGGAGAGGGTAAGGATATAAAGAAACATTTATCTTCTGAAATTTTGTTCAGTGAAATCTTTATTTCAATTAAAGTTTGTGTGATGCCTCATCTCAAAACAATCCCCTTTTGGCCTGAGAGATGCAAGTCCCAAGTTGACAATGAGTAGGCATCAGTTAGATGACTTCATGTTATAGTGAGACTTTTTTTGAACATAAGTGCATGTTAGCAATTTGAAGTAACTTGTAAGCATTTTAGTTCTAGAGTTTTTCCAAGATTGCTTGTTGCTAATGTTAGTTTTGCAGTTGAAAGTGGGTTGAAATATTAAGACACGTCCTGGATTTGTTTCACTTTTCTCTTCAATTTTATATTTATTTACTTAGAGATGCATTTGAAGTCAATTTTTAGCCACAAAAGCTGATCAAATGCCACCATTTAGTTTCAAATTGTATAAAAAATGCCAAAAGACAGTATCGTAACAAAACCCAGAAAATGATATTTGAAGGGATATTTCTGCTTGCTTTCTGTGCTGTACATAAAGGGGGAAGATAAGTAGATCAGATAAGTTAATTAAATTTTTGAAGAAGGTGAAGTTTAAAGCTCTTTTATGGCTACTAATTGATTAATTTGGTTGACTTTACTTGAGTCGTATGAGAAACTAGTAGCAGTGGTTTAAATGCTTTACTGAGAAACCATGCTCCACTGACGTTTGGTTCAAATGAACCTTTAATATTCAATTTATGAAACCTTTGAGCCCTACGGCTTATCAGAATATAAAACAGTGACAATATAAAGTGATATCTAATCAACTACCATTACTACAACAACTACTACTGATACAAACAATAATTATAATAATAATAATAATTCATCAGATTGACATTAATCTTAGTTCAGGTATTTTCCCAAATTGTTTAATAGTGATACATTGTTCAGTAATTTAATTAATTTAAAGACACTTGGCTTTGTATAATAAAATTTCTTAATATATTTCTGCCTAATCGTGTTGTAGTGAGGGCATTTAAGGATAAAATGAAATTCATCCTCTACATCGTTTAAATTGCATAACTTACAGATTCTCAATTTCTTATTTGTGTCTGTGTATCGGCCAGTCTCTATAGGTAGATTATGTGATGAAAGCCTAAATTTTGTGATAAATTCCTTATTTTTCTGTGAAATTGGCTTATTCAAGTAAAATCAACAAGGTGTTGATACAGAAGCCCTTTACTCGCTGTGAATATTTCTCCTGTCAGTACATGTCTAAAATGATCCTTCAATCTTTGTCCTATCAAGGACAGTATACAAACATCCGACATGTTTTCATAAAAAGTAAATGACATACCCATTAATTCAAGGTCATTCCGTATACAATTTATCCACTCAAAATTATTGTTAAGGATATTTTTATAGCATGTTTGTATAATACAGTTTTTTGAAGAGTGGATTTTCAGCCAATATTTAAAAATTCTTAAATTTCTACCTAAAATAAGTGGATATCGCCCGGTTTCATAATATACTAAGTTATTATTAGTGCTTCTTTAACACCCAGCATTCTTTTCAAAAAATCGGTATGTACCTTTCTTATATCCTTTGCCTTATTGAATCCCCATATTGCTGATGCATAATTAAAAATACTACCAAAGTACGTTTCAAAGACTGCACACCTGGTGGACACATTAAAGTTATGGTTTTTTAACATGCTGCTAATAGCAAATAATGCTCTTTTACCCTGTTCTGCTATATGTTTTTGAGTTTGACAAAACTTACCATTAAAATTAAAAGTAATCCGAGATAACTAAACTGATTCACCCTTTCTAAGACAACGCCGTTATATTTCCATTTCTCTTCATCCCCATTACCTAAAGCTTACCCCCATTTCTAAAGACCATTGTTTTTGTTTTTGCTGTATTAACCGTTAAATTCGACTTTTGTGAGTATAATTTCAGGGTGTCTAAAAGTTTTTGTAGTCCTTGAGGGGTTTCCGATAAAAGTACCATATCATCAGCGTACATAAGTAAAAAAAGATTTATGTCCCGTATTTCAATACTTTCACAATTTTCAGATAAGCAAAAAGTTTCAAAATCATTAACAAACAAAGAATAAAGTAGCGGGGACATTACCTCTCCTTGTAATAGACCAGTGTGTATTTGGAAGTATTCAGATAGCTGACCTTTAAACTTAACACAAGCTTTTACATTGCTGTAAAGACTTTTTATGTACAGACACAGATGTGTCTGTACATATAGCCATCATCTGCGTCTGTCGTCGCCGTCNCTTAAGATAATTTTGTTTCAATTTTGCATTCTTTTGGAATAATTTTTGGTTTTTCTCCAAACCTGTGGAATTAAAGTTGTATTCACCATTTCAATCTACAAAAGAGCAAGATTCTCTGGGTTCTCTCACTTCTCCACTCTCCCTTCCTCTGCCTCCAATCCCCCCCTCCACCCCACTGTTGCACCCCCATACCCTCATATCTTCCTATGGAACCTGTATATGTAAGTGAAACTTTGATAATAAGTATTTCCTGTCAACTTTCAGGTAATGTAATCAACATCCAGACTGGACAGTGGCCAGGCTACATGAGTGGCGTGGGGGCAGGACTTGACTCTTTCTTTGAATATTTACTCAAAGTAAGACGTTCATTCTGTTTGTCAAAATCTGTAAATTAGTCATTTTATCAAATATGTACCCAGATAGAGGTATCAGGTCTTTATATATGCTTCTTATTATTTTTTTTACTCATTTTGCTTTTCAAGTTTCATTCTATTTCTTATGTTGTTGTTATAAAGCCTACAATGAGCGCTAGAAACTTTCTAGCTATTTTAAACATTAATATTAAATGTTGCATTTTTATTAATTTAAAATTCAATCTAAAATTTCACAGGAATTATATTATTATATCTGTCATTATTTAAGCCAGAGTTTCCAAGCCAATGGGGGTCCCAACTCCATTTTCAAATTTTCATACATGCCTGCTTGTCACATATGTGAACTTAAAGAGGTGATTCATGGAAGTTTACTGTGGAAATCACAAATGTAACATTTATTAGCTATATCACATGACCTTATACAACACTACAAAATCTGAATATTACTTAGCCAGTAAATGTGGTTTTGTGATTGGTGAGAGTCAGTCAAACTTGCCACTGAAGTAAGTGTGCGGATGAGTGAAGGTGTGGATGAGTGAAGAGGCTGCTACACATTACACCTTTACTTGAGAGTATACCACAATCCACAATATAATTGGCTTGTCATTATGTTTCAGGCCTTTATTCTGTTTGGAGATGAAAATGCTCAGATGATGTTTAATGAATCCTATGAAAGCATCAAGTACCATATCAGGAGAGGGTAAGGTTATAGAGAAACATTTATCTACTGAAATTTTTTTTCAGTGAAGTCTTTATTTCAATGAAAGTTTGTGTGATGTCTCATCTCAAAACAGCCTCCTTTTGGCCTGAGAGATGCAAGTCCCAAGTTGACAATGAGTAGGCATCAGTTAGATGACTTCATGTTATAGTGAGACTTTTTTTGAACATAAATGTATGTTAGCAATTTGAAGTAACTTGTAAGCATATTATTTCTAGAGTTTTTCCAAGCTGGCTTGTTGCTAATGTTAGTTTTGCAGTTGAAAGTGGGTTGAAATATTAAGACACGTCCTGGATTTGTTTCACTTTTCTGTTCAATTTTATATTTATTTACTTAAGAGATGCATTTGAAGTCAATTTTTAGCCACAAAAGCTGATCAAATGCCACCATTTAGTTTCAAATTGTATAAAAAATGCCAAAAGACAGTATCATAACAAAACCCAGAAAATGATATTTGAAGGGATATTTCTGCTTGCTTTCTGTGCTGTACATAAAGGGGGAAGATAAGTAGGTCAGATAAGTTAACTAAATTTTTGAAGAAGGTGAAGTTTAAAGCTCTTTTATGGCTACTAATTGATTAATTTGGTTGACTTTACTTGAGTCGTATGAGAAACTAGTAGCAGTGGTTTAAATGCTTTACTGAGAATCCATGCTCCACTGACGTTTGGTTCAAATGAACCTTTAATATTCAATTTATTAAACCTTTAAGCCCTACGGCTCATCAGAATATAAAACAGTGACAATATAAAGTGATATCTAATCAACTACCATTACTACAACAACTACTACTGATACAAACAATAATAATAATAATGATAATAATAATTTATCAGATTGACATTAATCTTAGTTCCGATGCACATTTCAGGTATTTTCCCAAATTGTTTAATAGTGATACATTGTTAAGTAATTTAATTAATTTAAAGACACTTGGCTTTGTATAATAAAATTTCTTAATATATTTCTGCATAAGCGTGTTGTAGTGAGGGCATTTAAGGATAAAATGAAATTCATCCTCTACATCGTTTAAATTGCATAACTTACAGATTCTCAATTTCTTATTTGTGTCTGTGTATCGGCCAGTCTCTACAGCTAGATTATGTGATGAAAGCCTAAATTTTGCAATAAATTGCTTATTTTTCTGTGAAATTGGCTTATTCAAGTAAAATTGCACTGTGAAATTATCAACAAGGTGTTGATACAGAAGCCCTTTACTCGCTGTGAATATTTCTCCTGTCAGTGCATGTCTAAAATGATCCTTCAATCTTTGTCCTATCAAGGACAGTATACAAACATCGATGTTTTCATAAAAAGTAAATAACAGACCCATTAATTCAAGGTCATTCTGTATACAATTTATCCACTCAAAATTATTGTTAAGGATATCTTTATAGCATGTTTGTATAATACAGTTTTTTGAAGAGCGGATTTTCAGCCAATATTTAAAAATTCTTAAATTTCTACCTAAAATAAGTGGATATCCCCCAATTTCATAATATACTAAGTTATTACTAGTGCTTCTTTTAACACCCAGCATTCTTTTCAAAAAATCAGTATGTACCTTTCTTATATCCTTTGCCTTATTGAATCCCCATATTGCTGATGCATAATTAAAAATACTACCAAAGTACGTATCAAAGACTGCACACCTGGTGGACACATTAAAGTTATGGTTGTTTAACATGCTGCTAATAGCAAATAATGCTCTTTTACCCTGTTCTGCTATATGTTTTTTGAGTTTGACAAAACTTACCATTAAAATTAAAAAGTAATCCGAGATAACTAAACTGATTCACCCTCTCTAAGACAACGCCGTTATATTTCCATTTCTCTTCATCCCCATTACCTAAAGCTTACCCCCATTTCTAAAGACCATTGTTTTTGTTTTTGCTGTATTAACCATTAAATTCAACTTTTGTGAGTATAATTTCATGGTGTCTAAAAGTTTTTGTAGTCCTTGAGGGGTTTCCGATAAAAGTACCGTATCATCAGCGTACATAAGTAAAAAAAGATTTATGTCCCGTATTTCAATACTTTCACAATTTTCAGATAAGCAAAAAGTTTCAAAATCATTAACAAACAAAGAATAAAGTAGCGGGGACATTACCTCTCCTTGTAATAGACCGGTGTGTATTTGAAAGTATTCAGATAGCTGACCTTTAAACTTAACACAAGCCTTTACATTGCTGTAAAGACTTTTTATAATTTGGAGCAATTTACCTTGGACACCGAGTTTATTTAATTTCTTTCATAAACTTGGCCTATCAATGGAATCGAAAGCGGATTTATAATCCACAAACGCACAATATAGTCGCTTCTTACTCCTTTAAGTACGATTTATCACATGCTGTAGCATTCCAGGAAATAAAACTTAGCTCCGAAACTTCATCTTTTTTTACCAAAGCTGAGCATTTATCTATGGTGGGTGAGGTTTCTACCTCCTCGCATGCGATATCTGTGTTAAACTGATTGTAGTCCAAAACTTGGCTGAAGGGCTGCCTGTCCTAGCGATTCATGGTTAATGGTGGTGATACAGCACGTTGTGGGCGTATGAGAGGGGTCCTTATTCCGTTTACTGGTGTTCGCATTCCATTCACTGGCACTGCTTGAAAGATGGTTTCGGGTCTGCTTGGGTTTGTGTATCTAGGTGTATTTATGTACGGGGCCCGAGTTTGATCCACGTTGACCAGCTGCATATGGGCGCTATTTGTGGCAGTAGCCATACGTGTATTATCTTGTCGCATCCTGTCGGCAGTTTTTTCTTTAATAAGCCCATGGTTGGTGATGTAGAACCTATGTCCCTCTGGCACATATTGTAACAAGAATTCCATGTTTTTGCCAAGAACTCTCTCGCAGTGGGATTTACTGGCATGTATACGTACTTTTCGCATTCTTGCATCTGTACTATTTCTTATATTATGCTTCTGCCTTAATACTAGTATTTTCTCTTCTATACTGCCTGAGGCTATCTTTTCAAGTCCAGGTTTTCTAGTCCTGCTTTGCAGTCTTTTGCACTCCTGTATCCTGGGTAGGTCCACAGCCTTTGCTCAATTTCAGGTGGCATAATGGTCATCAGAATTTGTCCCACCTTGTCCTCCAGATTTTCATTAGGACTTAGATATAGACCTGTTATGATAACTGAAATATCTGGATTTTCCACACCTGACTTATGGCTATCCAAACATGATTCTATTCTACATTTAAGCGAATCAATAATTCTATCTTTTTCTTGCAAATCGTGAGTCAGTTCTAGTGTTTTGTCCTGTAGTGCTTTCAGCTTTAAATTTTGAGTATTGACCGTTACTTCTATATCTTTCTTCATTTCATTCACTTTTTCTTGTACAAGATGTGTGATATCTTTTTTCAAATGTTCACACATTTTTGTATTATTTTCAATAATGCTTTTTTGACTGTCCTTAATCACCTTCAATTCTTTCATGATGTCTGCCATCTGTAGTGCAATGTTTTCCAGTGACATCCCCCCTGTGGGCAGCTTATTGTTATTTTCCCATTGTATTGCAGCTATAGGAGTTGATTGTTGTAGACCGGCCATGGTGGGGTGGTTATCAGTTGTGTCTCCGTACAAGACTGCGTTGGCGTCCTCCAAAATACTGCTAAGATGGAAGTTTTCACTACTACTGCTAGGACTATTGACTTTTCGCTTTTTNTTGTCTGTACATTTGACAGCTTTGCTGCCTTGTTATTCGTAGATTTTCCCATAGCTCGTGTGACATTCAGGGTGTAGGGTCAATCGAAGTAACGGCAAAACGTGACCTGGCTATAGCACTGCACCATATCATTAAAGTCAGAAAAAAGCAACAAAGTCTACTAATTTTTTACTTCACACGTAACCTCTGTATACTTATCGTCTTATTTATAGTCAATGCTGTTCAATTGGCGACATTTTTTGTCGATATTTTCAACCTTTTCTTTGCCCGCTTGTCCGTCGCTTTGTCTTTCGTGTGGTGACCTTGACCTTCAAATGAACCTTTAATATAGAGTTAAGACAATTTCTTTTGTTTATTTACAGTTATTGTCTAATTTTCAAATGTATTTAATTAATATAGGTTGTTTATTTGATGTACATCCTAATATTTAAAACATATTTTGCCTTACAGTCGACCAAACTGCAACAAGGGCTCAGGTTTCCACCCACTGTATATGAATGTGAACATGAAGAATGGTGAAACCCTGAACAACTGGGTGGACTCCCTGTCAGCAGCCTGGGCCGGGATTCAGGTTGGTAAACATATTTTTCTAGTATGTAATATAATCATAATGAGATTAATATTCTTTTCTGTCTTGTTGAGGTGTTGGGGATAATAAACTAGTAGAGAGTATTGAAATTTTCCTTGCAAAATTTTGTAGATATTTATTAGTTTGTGAGTTCAAATGCTGTAACAGAGGCTGTACTAGGTAAATGTGGAAGGTGTCCTTTGTATACCAATTATATAATGAATGGAGAATAGTAATGGTGAACTCATTTGTAACTAAGGACATTGTTTATTAAAATTTTTGTACAACTTACCATGGGAACTAGTACTACTGCTATATTAAAATTGTTATGTGGGTACTATGGTTTGGAGGCCTAAAATTCCTGGTGTAAACTTCTTATAGGAAAATCAGTACACTAGGCTTACCAATTTTTAGTACACAGTGGTGGATTTAGGGGGAGAGGGGGGATTCTGGGGGTACCTGCCCCCCCCCCCCCCCCTTTGATTTCTGAACAAAAATCACACCTATGGTCCCCTCTTGAAATCAGAATTTTGACTAGCTGAATTATAGTTCTAAACTGTACCAAATGGCACTGTTCGCCCTCTAAAATGCCAAAAGTGGAGGAGGTTGGGGGGGGGGTGGTAGGCTGTGTATCCGCGAACCCCCTTCCCTTCAAATAATCCTGGATCCTCCACCCCAGAGTACAGAGTATTATTGTAAACCGTGTTTCTCAACAGAGTTATGATAAAAGCAACATCTGTTTCTTTTTCTGTTAAGGTGTTAGCTGGGGATATCGAGGAGGCCATATGCAGCCATGCAGTCTACTATTCTATATGGAGGAAATATGGAATCCTACCAGAAAGATACAACTGGCATTTAAAAGTGCCAGAGCTGAATTTTTATCCTCTCAGACCAGAGTTGGTTGAATCTACGTATCTTTTATATCAGGCAACTAAAAACCCTTTTTACCTCCATGTTGGAAAGGATATATTAGAGAACATTGATAAATATGCAAAAGCAGAGTGAGTATAAAACTGTTTACTATGACTGTTGTCTATGACTGCATTTTTTCCTGTGAAGTGATTCAGGTTCAAACTGTTGCTATTCATTTAATACATACTGAACTATCTAAATCAAAGCAGATTTAATTATGATAAAGAATTGATGTAGTGATGGAAACCATAACCTGTTATAATTTAAAAATTGAAATGCCTCATCAGGGATTAGATTATTCAGGAACATCCCCAATTTCAGAGAATTTTATTCTGACCCAATTTCATTTCTGTCAGAAACAACTCCACTATCTTTGCCAACCAGGTTAACCTTCATAACTGGGTGTATCTTTCAGATGTGGCTATGCAACAATTCATGATGTTACAAAGATGGACCTGGAGGACAGAATGGAAAGTTTTTTCCTCAGTGAAACTTGTAAATATTTATATCTTGTAAGTATTTCAAAAGTGAAGAAGTGTCAATCTTCAGTACATATGTGGATGATCTGTGATAGCTTTGTTGTTTTGTCAGTAGAGATTAGCATAAGTGTTCATGTAGGGAGAAAAAACAACAAAAACAATGTAGCTCTTAGCCAGTCAAATTTCAGTTTCATATTAGTTTTGCTTTCTAAAGAATGTAAAATATATTTGTTTTATTGTATCATTAGGCTTTATTGTATTTTCCATAGAGGAATGTTTTTTTTTGTATGGAGAGAGGGATGGGGGTTGTTTGGGAGGGAAATGTTCTTTGTATATATATTCTCTTGTGTTCAGAGAAGGTATCTGTTTTTACATGCACACTTCAGTATTTTGGATTCAGTTGATGATTTACAGAAATAACAAAGTTCATTTCAACAAAGTTGAATGCAAAACAATTTTTGTACATCCTTTTCTCAAGGATTTTACACTGTACCCCAATGTCTGTCATGTTAGTCTTTCCACAAAATAGTGAACATTTGAGTTATGTCAGTTATGTGCGTATTTTATGAATAATATATGCATAGGTCTGCCTTGCCACAGTATTTTCTTTCATTCTTAATAAGGAAAGAAATCAACAGTGAATAAAAAGTTATAAAACACAAAAATCATGTGTATCACTTGCGTCACTCAAATGTTTGGTGCATTCTGGAATATCCCATTATCTTTGACTTCAGTCACTGTTAAAATTGACAAAACATTTGTACTCTTTCACACTAAAATGGTTATCCATTGTTCTGGTTGTTTTAATGTCACTGCTTCTATCAGTTTTGTCTGTCCAGTTGGCAGTTTTGCTGCCTTGTTGACCTACATTTCATTGTTATTTCTAGCGCTCCAAATTTGTCTCAAATTATTGAAAACAGCTGCCATAATTTTTATGCTTTATTGTACAAATTATTCATGTTGTCGCTTATGATTGTGATGGTAATTACTCACAATTTTTGAACTACCTCACTTATTTTTCTCAAAAATTCATTAGGTCTGGTAATAGATATTTATATTTTGTTGTTTTCTTACATCACATATTTTTTGCCTTGTTGACCTGGGGCAGAGAAACCAAGCTAGTAGATATTATTAACTTCTTTGGGCAGTGAACCCCCAAATTGGAGGCACATTGTGTAGGGAGATGAGTTCTTATATTCTGTCCCTTGTTATATTTTAAGGCAAAATATGCTCTCATACTGGTATTTACAGAGGGTAACTATTATGTTTGCTTTCTTCATTTCAAATGTGCCTGAGAAAGTTTGGTTTGGAAGTACCCCCCCCCCCCCTTTCCCCTTTTGACGTTGATCAAAAATTAGATGAAGAAAAATGAAAATGTTGTCTGTGATGTGATAAAACAACCACATACCATGAAACCTCTCTTATCTTTAGCAGGAGGTAGAGAGTATTTACCATAACCCTTTCAGTCAACTCTCCCTCATTTGTAAATGTATTGTTTTCTTCCACCTTCCAGCTTTTTGACAAAGATCACCATTTAAACAAAGAGGCAGCCAGTTATATTTTTACAACAGAGGGACATATATTACCAATAAGCCCCAGGTGGAGAGAGAAACCCTGGGAGGAATATTTAGAAAATGACATACAGGATGTGTCATCTGACAGTGAAAAAAGCGTTTTAGATGTGCGGAAAAATAATATGACCAATGTAAGCATCTAACAGTAAAGCATAAAACTGGTATGGGGATCTTTGTGCTATGATGTTGAGTATTAGTAGGTATTCATAATTTACTTGTTGTGGATTTTATAGCTGTTTGTAAGGCTCTGGTGTTGTCAAAAATTGAAGGCCACCATTACCTTTTTATTTAAAAATTGTAAAATACACATTTCATCAGATTATGTAATTGTTGAAAGGATTTTGATATGGTAGTTCTTTTAACTTAAATACGATACTTGTAAATGTTGTAAGGATGTTTTTTTAATAAGACTGCAGCAGTACAAAATTGGTAAGAAGAGAAGTAAAGAAAAAGCAAGCTGATGAAGATTTTACCAAGTTAAATATTTATTGCTCCACTATTTCTTTCCAGTGTGACAGGATTCCAGATGAGAGGAGGTATTTCCTACCACTGGAGACCAGATATCTACAACAAGTAGAGGCTAGTATAGGCTTGACTGTAACCTGACCACTGGGGACTTAGATGAGTTGTGCAGAAATAATCCCTAGTCAACAGATTCAGCTAGGAGTTACCTACCAGAGCATAAGATCTGCCTTGAAGTTTAAAAATGCCATATTTTATCTAACTTAAACATCTTTTTTAAATTCAGACTTGTCACAGACACTGCAGTTGTCCACGTCACCCTTATGTCTACAACATTACCTTCAGCAGTGTTTTTATCATGTCATACTCTACATATATTATGCATCCTGACTATACCAAAGGTTTCCTTCGAAGTCTGTGTTTTAACATCCAGCATCACCTCGTCGCCGTCATATCATGACACTAAAGACATCTCCTCACTACAAACATTGTTTATTGCATATATTCCATTTTCATTCCCATTGCAGTACACTATATTTATACTCAGCTCATTAGCACATTCCAGTGTCACATCCAACCTGTGTCTCACCTATCACACTGCTGTGTACCAGCTAACCATAACTCCTCAGTTTCATTATGCACTAGTACGATTTCCTTATTCTGTAGAGGAATATTACTTATCAGCTTAACTGTTATGGTAAGATTTATGTTAAGCAATACCAGAGCTAAATTGGAAGGTGCAATTTTTATTTTAATATATCATGTAATATATACAATGTTGGCTTGCTTACCATGTTACTACCCTCAGATGTAACAGATGGTGTTCTACCAAGCATATTTCTGCTGCCATATGGGCCTCTTCCCACATGACCTTTTTTGACAAAAAAAATTTGAGCAGACACTCTATATTGAAAGAAAATTCGAGTCTTCTTGTGAGGTCCAGTTGAATTTTTAAATATCTTCAATGGACCCAATGTTCTCATTCAGAAGGGCAACAACTGATCTACCCTGGGTCATAGTATGCAAGAATTCTGGGACTTAAAACTTGAGCCAAACTTTCTGTAGAAGTTAAACACTGCCTATGGGCTGCCTATAGGTGATATTGCATTAACTTACAGCCTGTGATGATTTATCAGTTCAGTTATAATATATTTGTGTATTGTTGAGTATTTTCCTTTGTGACTAAGTATAACAGCAAAGCTTAGAGGGATTCCTGTTTGTTAGGGTATTTCAAGGGTTTGTGATGTAATAACATTATTGTTAATTAGGTCATTTATCAAAAGACAAATGTATTATCACTGATGTGTTAAAAAGGTTTTCTGTAGAGCATTGTGCTGTGTTTAAGTCTCATTTTGTCTCTGAATTGGACATGGCTACATCAGTTGCAGTACAAAGTTAACAAATGTACCAGAAGATGAACAAAGTGGATATAATTGGCTATCTGTTCATCTTTAGAAGTAAACATTTAATTGATGTTTCAACACCTTCTGAATTTAGTATCATTTTGGCTTAGGCTTTTATTTGTAATTAAGAAGATGCAGAGAAAATTCAGTCACATTTTTTGAGTTATTGAATTTGAGAAGTCTAAGCTTTTTTCATAATTTCATGGTGCTTAAACAATAATGAAAGGTTTTTTGTTTTGTTAATATTGAAGTTGATACAAAACTGTGAACTATGCAGTGCTATTTTAGTCAGGGAGCACTTATGTCAATATCAATTTTGAATTAGACAGAGCTATATTACACGGTTTTCATGCCTTTATCTTTTACAAAGATTAATTCTTTTTGAAGAAAAGTTGTGAGTTCAGATAACCACTCATTTAAAAGCTGTATCACACAATTGGAAGGTTGTTGCTCAATTTGAACTAACTCTTGCTCTTTTCGACACTTAGTATTTAAGAATTCAAGGGGCTCAGGGATATTATTCAATGATAAAATGCACAAGAAGCATGAATCAGTAGAAACTTAGAATAGCAATAACATTGCATTTAAGAAGAGAGAGTCAAATGATGTTTTCAACTGACACCAAGTCCAGTTTGTAACCGACTTAGAAAGTTATATTTTTATTGGACAGGTAGTGACAGTAAAATGACAATGAAACTGGTTAGACACAGTGTCGTTGACTTGTTGGCAGTCAGTATTATATTGAAACATGTTTTACTGTAACCTTATTTGTTTTAAATCAACAATAAATATATTTTAGTTACATTTGACTGTGAATTTTTGCTTTGATTTTAATGATGTAAATTATTGGAGTTAGATGTTTATTTAAAGGCATGTAGCCAGCAATTTTAAAGGGGTTTCTTTTTTTGAAAAAGTGGACCTTTTACCATGAAATCAACATGAACTTACATAAAATTTTATCCAGAAGAGACTTTTCCCAGGCAACCTTTTGAACCCCCTGTTCCCCCCCCCCCCCCCTCACTATGGGCCTCATTCATAGGACACGATGGCCCTTTTCGGCTTAAATTTGCAGATATGAGCTTTTTCTGTGTAAATGCCGAATTCCGCATTTTTAAATTCAATTCCTAAGGCAATCCCCTGACCTCTGGCTGGTAAGGTGTTAGGTCCCATGATAAATGTTCAGAGTTTTTTTTTTTTTTTTTTTTTTTACAAAGGCTTATGTCTGAATTTGATCCTTGTGCCCTTCCTACTGCGAATCACCTCGGGTAAAATAAAAGATACAGGTTGCCAGTGCTGGCTCAGGGTCACCTATATGGATCTATTATATTATTAGATTGGGCAACTTAGCTGAATGATGATCGCTATAGCACTATGGTTGAGGAAGTATACCGTTCACATGGAAAATCTATTTTCTAAAAATCTATTTTCGGTATCTTGTGATCACGGTCTGTGCCCTGGATACCCCGCGGCGTCATTGCTGGCAGCGCGAGCGAGTTACTTCCAAAGCTGTAATTAATTCTCGGCTGCGCTCGGAGGAGATTCTGATACCTAAAATGCAGCCCGAGTTGGAAAAGCAGTCGAGTTGGCTTCTTTTTCTGTTGTACATTTCTGTGAAATTTTTATGTCTCGCATATTTTTTATGTGGGACTTAAACTCACACGGGCATGAAGCCCAGTGGTAATCAAATTTTCTAAATGTCCATGTTATTAATAGAAGTTTATTAAAACGGTGGTAACTAGAAAAGCACTCCGAGAGCGCAGACCTCCGCCAAGGCAGCGATTTTTTATTATTATTGATTATTTATTGATTATTGATCCGGATCACCACCAAAAACTAATCATCTGTTCCTTGGCCCACTTCTGACAGTTCCTGAAAATTTCATCAAAATCGGTCTATAACTTTTTGAGTTATGTTGATGACGGACAGACAGACAGACAGACAAACAAACAAACAAACGGGAGTGAAAACAACCTCCTTGGCGGAGGTAATTATACAGTTAATCATTATGAAATATTGACAAAAAACCTACTTCGTGCACTGTCACCACAAACGTTATGACAAAAAGAAAACTGTGTTACTTATTACTTTTTTAACTTACAAGAATTATTCTTAGGATTGACATACAGCTCAAATTAGAAAACCAGCATGATTGGATTATCACTTTTTATTGAGTTAATGCAATTTTTTGTCAAATTTTCATTTTTCCCAATCTGGCATTTTCTAATTGTGTACTTACACTCTCATGGGCCTGAAACCTTATGTTTTTACTTTCATCGGTGTTACCTGTTGTGCATAATTAAAATTTGATGTTGACTTTGCAGTATAGTGTATTTATGCATCCTATTTTGTGCATTATTATTTTCTACTTTTTTATAGCTCTGCTGATAGCTTTGATAGCTTTGCTGCCTTGTTTTTATATACATTGAAATTAAAGAAATATAGATAGATTAAAGCAACATAGTTCTGTAAAATTATTGCATGTTCACTTTTTGCTGCGCTGCAAATTTCTTCAGACCTACCTACACCGTGTGCCATTAAAATGGCGATGAATGATTTATGAATAGTTTTCAACTGATACATATGAAAAGAATACAACAAAGATAAAAAAAAGAAAGAAAACACAAAAAGGTAACCTTTTCTGGAGACCTTTTCCCTACCAGGTAGAGGGGGGGGGGGGCGTTGTGACAGGAATGGAAGTTCGGGGTCCCATATGATATGTACAGGTGAGGGTTAGTTAATTGGAGTATTGGGGTTAGTATATAGGGCGAATGTCACCTGATGAAAGTAATGGAGAGCGGACTGCGGTTCCTAGCGGACTTCCATTCCTGTAACACCTATTATGTAGGATCAGTAATTTATCACAACGCACGTGTGACCCGCTTAGAACTACGCTTACCCGAATACATAACCTATTTAAACACACTTAAAGCGCCAGTATATGTTGTTTTTAAATTCTTTTTATTTATCTCTCCGAAACCGTGTTCAAATATACAAGAATGTTACATAATCAATGAGTAGCGTAGCACCTGTGCTTCATAGTGTTTTTATATTAGAAGCACAAATACTATTATCGCATTTGCTGTTAACTTAGCTTAAGCCAGGTTAAGAAGAAGTGAATTGAACAGTAAATTGGTAATATTGTGGGAGTAATGTGTGAGTAGAACGACAGCTGGTGAACACTAAATTGGGTGAAAACTCTAAGAAATATCACATGGTATAATAATTAAAACTGATAGATATTTTCTTTAACTTTATCTTGGTCAGTAAATGTAAACAGATCGAGACACTGTATGCAGACGTCGGGCATTACTTATCACACAGAGCATATTCCCACACAGGCTGTTGTGGGAAGATCATCTCCAGTTGTTGATCCACACTGAGCTTTCCACAATTCATGAGACGGTAGGTACTTACATTTTATGAATTTACTATGTAGCAGACACACTGAAAAATGAAAAACTTAAATGAACAATTAGACTGTACTGCGTACGGGAAGGGGGAGTACACTGTAGTGGTTGTGCAGAGTCGAGTAAATGCGGCCATTTGCCGTGTCAGTGCGTTATGTAGATGCGTATGTATAAAGCGATGTAAACAGCGACTGCTTTTCACGTCAGTCCTAAATCAAAGGTGTACTGCAACTCAGCTGTCAGCCTCTCAAGTCCTTAGCCGAATCTTGCTCTCATAAATTTTCTATTCAGGAGTCAACTATTTTTGCACATACATCGACAATCTATTTGCTACAGGCTAAAGCAAATAGTAGGATCGTAATACAAGTAGCCATTTTAAGTAGCTTTTCGTTTTATATCCAGTGATTGCAGATAATGGAGAATCCATCCGTCAACAACACCGACTCTCCTAGAATAACGCTGCACCGTTCCTTCGACAAAGTAGCAGAGGAATGTCCAGACCAAGACGCATGCGTAATCTATCATTCAGAGGATGCCCGTGAGTCTGTGACTTTCTCTCAGTTGCGTAAACAATCGGAGCAGTTTGCTGTCATGCTGCTCACCAAGGGACTTCGAAAGGGAGATATCGTCGGTCTTCTGTCTACCAATTCTGTGGATTTTGTCGTTGCGTTCCTTGGCTTGTCTCGCATAGGGGCCCCTGTGCTGATGCTACGGTATGGAAGCACCGCGGAGGAAGTCTGCAGGTTATTGACAAAACATGACTGTAAAGGTTTGGTTGGAAGCGTGGACTCAAATCAAGATTCAGAAATAATCTCAAGCATTGAACACCTAATAAAAAAGGATGGAAGAAATGAGCATTTTGTCATAATAAAGCAGACTCCAGACGAGGACAATGCTTCCAGTCAGGTAGGCTTTTTGAGCAGTGAAACTAAACTGAAACCCGACCTGCACTTTCCGGATGTAGGCCCTGAAGATACGTGCGCCATATTCCTTACATCTGGTAGTACGGGAGAACCAAAAGCTATGCAGTTTCGCCATCGAGCATTAGTGTCCAGAACGCATCCATGGGGCGAGTTCCTGTTTTCGGACATTGAGAGAGCTACTTTTTTTAATGACCGCCCGATGGCGTGGACAGGTGGCTTTTATATGATACTTAACATGTGCATCTTCGGTGCTTGCACAGTTTCAGTGAATTCTAACCTTTCTGTGGCAAGTGGAGAGATAAATTTCGTCGTGGACGTCATGAGGAATGAAAAATGCACACACGCACTACTGATGAATTATCTACTCGTTGACCTCATGCATTACGACGGTCAACAACAGCCCTCTTTGCATTTGAAATACGTCATCACGGCTGGACAGAAAGCCGATCATGGGGCGCTGATGCATGTCTTCACTATTTTTCCGGAGGCCACGCTCGTATACATGTACGGTGCCGGTGAGACGGGAATTGTCTTGTACCAATGCCATACCGACACAAGTACGCTAGATGACGATGGTTTTAGTATGCACCAAGGCGTTGACATCAAGCTAATTGACAGCAGTGGTGAAACCGTGGAACCCGGGGCATCGGGAGAGATTTGCATTCGCTCACCAGCTCTCTTCGAAGGATACCACAATAATTCTGAAGCAACCAGCAAAGCACGGCTTCCAGACAACTGGTTTCGCTCGGGTGACGTGGGAGTCAAAAGGCAAGATGGAAGAATCGTGTTGCTTGGTCGATCAGATGATATGATAAAGCGAGCAACTGTAAAAGTCTTTCCCGTCGAAGTCGAGAGAGTCCTTCGTCAACATCCGTGTATTAAAGAAGTGGTCGTGGTTGGGGTTCCGGATCAGCGTCTATTTGAGGATCTCTGTGCATGCATCATACCACGTGACCCTAAAGCATTCGACGAAGCCGACTTCCTTATTTGGTGTAAAGCACAATTCTCCGTCGGACCGGATGGTCTCTCTTTGACCCCAACTTATGTTCTTGTATTTGATCAATATCCGAAGACTCGCACTGGAAAAACCAGCAGGAAGGACCTCAAAGAGAAGGCTAAAAAGCGAGTGCAAATTGCACAGGTTTGAGTCACTATTGACGCATTAATTAACGCTTTTAGACTTCCTGTAGTAGCCCCAAGTTCCATTGTAGTTTTACAAGGTTGTTTATAGGCATTATCGATGAAACCAGAAAAAGAAATTATGTAGATCAGTAGGCAAAAGGCGAACAAGTGTTTTGAAAACGAAAACAATAGATGAATACTCGAGACATGTTCAAAATATTTCTGTAAGGATCATAATTTAGTAAAGTGGTTTAAGTAACTGTAATCCTGAGGCAAATATTTGTTTTCAGTATATTAGGAATCTAATTTTATTTGATTTATTTCCTGCCACACATAGGCATCTTTGAAACGACCGTAGAAAAAACTCCTGTATAAAACAAAGAAATGTTGTTTATTGAAAATTGTTCGCAATATCATTTTACTAAATGGATAGAAAGCAAAAACTATATTTGAATAAAATTGAAAATTATACTTAAAATCATGTTCCTCATGGCGTTCATCTCCATCATTTTGGGGTAGAGTCGCAGGCAGTTAACAACAGATGGCAGAATATATATTAGGCATAGATTATTAATTTATTCATTTGATATAAAACATTGTTTTCTATGAGACAGCATGAATATCTTATAATTAACGTTCTATTGAATGATCAATAACTCTACACAAAGGACGAGTTGAAAATATAAAATTTATGAGTCCTTTATTCATCACTATTTAATTTTTTCATTCATTTTAATTTGTCGTTTTAATTTTTATTTCATTTCTGTTTTAGTGTTATTTCTTCTTAATTAATTATTTTATTTTATTTAATTATATACTAATATTTTTGTGATATCCGTGCCCTGTATAGCATGAGCACTAAATTAGTGAGTTTGAGGAAACTGCTGACCTACTTTATCGCAATGTTTTAAATAGGTACGTAACAAATGTGCAGCTGTAGACCATGTACGCCCTCACATGACGTGGCATATGAGATTTTGTTCCCTTGGACTCAAGTTCGTCCTGTCAACATGTAGGCAGTTCGTTATCACACAAAAATCGGGTCACGACAGATTGATACGGTGGAATGTCCATAAGCAACTGGCGTGCACTAGAACCTATACTCGAAATACGGTCAGTAGCCCTATTGGAATGGATTCTGTATTTAACGCACTTGCTGAGAGCAGTAGCGCCTTGAACTCAGGCGATGACAGTCATACAGCAGTGATGATAGTATTCTAGTAGTCATTCTGGCCAACAAGCACACACACTACAAACACTTGATATCAATATCAGTTAAGCAATGATTTATTAGGACGAAGGGGTGGGGGCGGACGCGAAAAGTGCTATAATGTCGGCATTTATAAAGACAGGTTAGGGACCTACCAGTATACACCATGCAGGTTATTTGAACAGGGATCGAATTAATGTCACAACAGTCAGCTAGTGTGACTGTCCGAGCGGTGACATTGTTAAATGGAACGTCCATTGTACTCTTTATAGGCAGAGCAAAATAACATTGTTTGCAAAAGGTGCGTGCTGCATCAGGTGTTCCATATTCTACGAATATATATATATATATATATATATATATATATATATATATATATATATATAGTACATACAGGTATACCAATATGTAAAGTGGGTCACCAACGGTGCTATTGCAAGTTGCGGTATACAATAGCGTTTAATAGAGGGGGTCATAGTTATCACACACAAACACGCATTTTACGTTGAGTGTATATTTTCAAAATGCTCTAAAGATAATCGAATCTTTTCTGCGCTGATTCTGTAGCATCCAATAGTCTATGATTAAAATATGATTTGTAAACATCGTTGGTGAAAAACTGACCTCAAGTGTGCGTAACGCTGAACTGCTGCCGCAAGTCGTAAAGCCCCCTTTTTACAGTGGACGGCGTCCTTACTGCGTCCTGTAGTACGGTCCCGTTTGAGAGTTAAAAAATTATAATAATTACGTGCCGAAAACTGGCCGATCATTAAGCATTCATTCTGCAACCAAAGCAATGATTGTGTCTTCTTATTACGACCACAGTGATGCCTGCAGTTTCATCTATCTCACAAAGGACGCAGAAAGGATGCCGTCCAGTGTAAAGGGGGTTTAAATCAGAGGTAAATTGACAGTGGAATTAATAGTTTCAATCTGTCCTTTCTTACATGCATTGTCATAGCTATTTTGTAATTTTTGAATCAATTCTTTTTTTTTTTATTTCATTCTACTTTCATTTCACAGAAAATGGAGAAACCTTTCCCCACCTATGTCCAAGGTCAGAGCCTTACGTTTCTCGATTCTTTCGACAAAATAGCAGAAAAATTCCCTGAGCGTGACGCATGTATAGTCTACCATGCAAAAGACGTACGCGAGGCTGTGACTTTCTCTGAACTGCGTAAGCAATCAATACAGTTTGCTATCATGCTGCTCACAAAGGGACTTCGAAAGGGAGATATCGTCGGTCTTCTGTCTACCAATTCTGTGGATTTTGTCGTTGCCTTCCTTGGCTTGTCTCGCATAGGGGCCCCTGTGCTGATGCTACGGTATGGAAGCACTGCGGAGGAAGTCTGCAGTTTATTGACAAAACATGATTGTAAAGGTTTGGTGGGAAGCATTTATTCAGACCGGGATGCCGAAGTCATTACAAACATAGAGCAAAAAATGTCAAGGGAACACCGAAATAATACTTTCATCGTGATAAGTCAGATCCTTCTCGACAAGCGTAGTGCTTTGTGCAGTTCAAAAACTGACGGTGAAAATACTAATTTGTCACATATTCCCGAAGAAATGCATTTTCCCAAGGTAGGGCCAGACGACGCATGCGCCATATTTTTCACCTCCGGAAGTACGGGAGAGCCAAAAGCCATACAAAATAACCATCGTGCTTTTGTTGCCAGAACCCGTATAATGCGCGAGTTTTCGTTTACAGAAGCAGCTTCTTTCTTTAATGACCGCCCGATGGCGTGGACAGGTGGTGCCTACACAATACTAAACATGTGTATCTTTGGAACATGCGCAGTCACGATCAACTCTAACTTCACTGTTGCCAGCGGGGAGGTCGATTTCGTCATGACCATCTTGCGAGATGAAAAATGCACGCATGCCATTCTAATGAATTATCTTCTTGTGGATTTCATGCATAGCAACAATCCAAACAACAAACCCTCACATCTCAAATATGTCTTAACTGGCGGACAAAAAGCCGACCACGCATCGCTGGTCCATGTTTTAACCGCATTGCCGACAATAACACTGGTATACCTGTATGGTGTGGGTGAGGCGGGAATTGTTTTGTATCAATGTCATACTGACACGAGCACGTTAGATGACGATGGTTTTAATATTCACCAAGGCGCTGACATTAAGCTAATTAACAGCAGTGGTGAAACCGTGGAACCTGGGGCATCGGGAGAGATTTGCATTCGCTCACCAGCTCTCTTCGAAGGATACCACAATAATTCTGAAGCAACCAGTAAAGCACGGCTTCCAGACAACTGGTTTCGCTCGGGTGACGTGGGAGTCAAAAGGCAAGATGGAAGAATCGTGCTGCTTGGTCGATCAGATGATATGATAAAGCGAGCAACTGTAAAGGTCTTTCCCGTCGAAGTCGAGAGAGTCCTTCGTCAACATCCGTGTATTAAAGAAGTGGTCGTGGTTGGGGTTCCGGATCAGCGTCTATTTGAGGATCTCTGTGCATGCATCATACCACGTGACCCTAAAGCATTCGACGAAGCCGACTTCCTCATTTGGTGTAAAGCACAATTCTCCGTCGGACCGGATGGTCTCTCTTTGGCGCCATCCTACGTTCTTGTATTTGATCAGTTTCCAAAGACTAGCACTGGAAAAACCAGCAGGAAGGATCTGAAAGAGGTGGCTAAAGAGCGAGTGCACATTGTGTAAGCAAATAGCGCAGGATTGTTCAAAGTGCAGAAATGTGTGCTGTTTAGAAACTGGGAAATATAGACTAATTTTAATTAAAATGTCGGAAGCACAAGTTATGACATCACCTGGATCGGACGCATTTGAGTTGTCAAGCTTTGTCGAATTTATGTAGTTTTACTGAAAAAAAAACGAGTGCATTTTATAGATTTACATGTCATTCGAAGAACACTTGGGAGTGAAAGACAAATCTTCTTTATTTAGGGTTCGACAACACCATCAACATTGTACATGAGCTTTTTGACACCGTTTTCATATCTGTATTCATTTTATGAAATGACAAAAGGTTAAAGTGTATTAAAGTCACAAGTAACATAAGACACATCGTCAAAAGACAACAAAGTCACAACCTAAGTAACAGACGTAAATAAAAATGCATCCCTCCCCACAGCTCGTCTTCATGGAAACAATTCATCGACAGTTATAGATAAATTATTCCATCTGTGAAATATTATTGTTAAGCCTAATGCCTAGATATCAAGTATAATAACTAATGTGCTTCTTTTTGCTATTATGATCACGGCAAAACACTTATCCGGATGGAAATCCATTGTCCCTTGATAGATAACAATAACTAAATAATCTTTAAAACGAGGCTTTTGTACGGAGAATGGACGATCTGTACATTGTCATGTAAATCAGACAAGCATTCTGGTGAAATGTGTTCAGGTAGGACCATAGTCAGTGCAAAACGGAGAAGAAAGAAGTACCATGCCACATGTAGGCCCAACATACTGACGACGGCAACAATCTCCTGTACATGTAAGTACTGTAAGGTGTACTTGTAATGAGGGATTGCCTCATCTGCGTTGACCGTAAGTGTATTTTACCAAAATAGTACATTTTGAAATTAAGTTATTATGACGATGCAGGCAACTTGGGGTGAACGATACGTTACCTTAAATTTTCAAAACCGACTTGCCGTTTTATTCAATGGTTTTATTATTCTCTGTTATTTTTCCAGAAGAGACGCATTTGCCAATAAAGACGTATGTGGTTTGTGCCAGCTGTGTAAAGACCTGAACGAGTTTCACCAGTGTAAAACGACCAGACAGGTAATCCCATTTGCTGCCCTTTAATACGCTCATTTTATTGTTGATGACACCGATCTCTTTTCTATCAAACCCACCCACACAAAAAAAAAAAAAAAAAGCCAAACAAGACAAAACCAAGTCGCTTTTATTCCTGTGCCCTACCAATTAGGTCTGTGGTAACATTATCTTCGCCTTTTGTTTTATATTTTCCTAGAAGCAAGACATTGTCTTATCTCCCCCCCCCCTCCCCTTCTGCCATGTCTAAATTTATTTACTTTCATTTCTTTGAATATCTGCGTAATCCAAGCACCTGTATCATTTTTACTGTGCTTATATATGAATCTTAATTAATTATGTTGCTGTTAAGCATGGTATACAGAGTATAAAAGAATAGAAATGATACTATTATAAGGCGTGTGATTGAATAAAACCTGTTACATAAATATTCGTAGAGTTTAGAAATTAAATACAATTCCTTAAAACAATGCTATGTAAACCGCTTACACATCGTTCCGGGCATCTAAATATTTCGTTTTATTTCAGTGACTCTTAACCACCATAACGAGGCGGATGGATATGCTTCCTCCTCCAGAGACATCAGATTCACTTACGACATCGCCCGCCTCCATGTGCCAAGATTGTCTCGGTTGCCGAAGTTTGTCTTCTGGTTAATTGCAGGGTTGACGTTTAATATGGAATATAATGATTACTCTCGGTTGTACTATTCAAAACGTGTATCAAGTGATAAATGGACGTATCCAGCATTTTAATTCATGAAATTCTGAACAAGAAAAGAAAGTGGTGGACTAAAGCTATGTTAAACGTCAACCCTGATTTAATATCCTACATGTAAAAAGATACAAAGGAAACCTTTTCGTAATACACGTTGTGTTCAGTTGAAGGAGACAGCGATGTGCATAGTTACAATAATCTAATTAAGGTGTACCCAAGATTATAGCAATTCAAAAATTATATTGACATTGTTATGAAACTGGCTAAATGCGTTTATTTTTTTGCAGAATTGCCTTAACGTATTGAAGCGATCTTTCTCAACACTGTGAATATGAATATGCGATTGTAACGCATGCTAAGAACCTTTGTTTCTCTGTATTTTTACACTCTGTGTGTGTGTGTCCAGAGACAGAACCATATTTTCAGTGCTGGAGGGGGTCAATATGTTAGTTTAAAGAAATGTTAAACCAGATGATGGATAGAAAAAAATTCCCGAAATAATTTTGTATTTGTTAATGCAATAGGAGAATATGTACGGTGTGTTGATGATAAGAAAATGTCCCTACTTGGGCTACGCGCATTGAGTTCATTTAAGTGTTGTTCTCAAGTTTTTTTCGCTATCAGAAGTAGAAATGGTAAATGTTTACAAAAAAATCGGTCAATTATAGGCAGTCATTTATTCCACATCTTTTCACTATTAAAAGGTCGATGTAGGACTGGCATTTGTCATAACCTTTGAGAGATTTTGAAAAATCCTTATCTTATTGTAGCATTGTTATTGAAAGCTCAATTTGGGTAGGGTTCACAAGTATACCTAAAAACAAATGCAGTTTTATAACCCGCCTTCTTTGGTCAGTCTTGTACAAATAAAATATGAAACAATTTTATTGGAAATTTGCAAAAAAGTATTCAATATGATAATACATAACACTTAGTTTTGGTAGATTATTTTAGGAGTTCTTGTGGTTTGGTCAGTGACTATTATCTACCGTACTATTATCTAAGGAAATACCTTATGACTGCATTTTGTTTCTCCTAAGGACTAGACATTCCATATTCCATCAAAAATGAATATAATTTCACTGTTTAGTTTGAAATGTCCAGTCAAAGTTTGTTTTTAATCAAGGGGTGATTGAGAAAGAAATATCTTATTTGATGTCAGTCCTGCACGTCCTGTTGGGTTATTTTATAACTGAGTGTCCCTGGATCACGGAGCACCAAAAATGGGAGTTCAGTTTGTTAGAATTTTCTAAATGAATGTGACGAGTTCTTTCGTACTTATTGATTTTTTATAACCTTTTCAACTTTGTTTGGATATCATTCTTTTAAATGGCTCTGGCTGGGATAAGCTTGTAAACTGACCGTGTATTTATGCCGTTCCTGATTCACATGCTGTGCAATTTTAGGTTTTTACTCAACGCACTTATTTTGGAACTTTTTTTTATGAAGAAAAAAATAATGTTAAACCTTAGATGGGCGCAGTAAACATTTCATCTAAAATGGGGGTGGGACTGGTTTTGTATATGAATGTGACCATCAGCAGGACGGCATAGAACGAGGTTTATACGTGCGTGCGGACGGGGGTAACCCTTACCTTGTACAAAAAAGTTCTTCTATTACATTTGTCATCAATTGTAAGACAAGCACTGTCAACTGAACTGAAGCTGACGAGTACATGAATATAGCCAATTTTCCAGTTTGTATGTTAATTCTTGCCTAAACCCTGTATATTTAATATTCTGGTTATACAGCATTATGTCGATTATAGTATTCCTAAACTTTTTTTATAGAGCCAAAGAATTACAATCTTAAGCAGCAAAGTTCGAAATGCATAAAATATTTGGCATTTCTTTTTTTAGAGATAGTGGACATTTAAAAGTATGTTTATTATTTGTTCATATTACAAAACATTAATATATAATTCAAAATACGTTGCAGGTGGTGACTGGTAATATAGAGATTAAAAATGTACTTGTATGGTATTGATACTTTTGTGATACTCTTTATGCTACAATTGTTAGAATTGATTTGGACAATAATAAACGCTAATATGTATACTTTGTGTCTATGAGCAAAATGTGAAATTTTTCTGTTGCAGCTTTCTTTTCTGTAGTTCCTCGATTCGAACCGGTGTCTGGTACTTACTATTCTCTGCATACTATTCCGCCTTCTTACCTACTGAGCAACTGACTCTGCCCACGACCACAGCGTCGCATATTCATTTTGTACAAGTTGAAGTCTCTTATTTTGATTTTTTTAAGCAAAAGGTAATTTGCTTGGACCCAGGACCACCGGGATTTGAACCGGGATCTGCTGACTCAGAGGCAAGCGTGCTATCCACTCCTCTAAGTGTTCCCACCCACCCTCCCCCGGTAGAATTTCTTCTTATAGTAACCAAGGGATAATTCTAAAAGCATTTCAGTGAGGGGAAAACCAATCACTAGATTACCACCGACCCATACAACTGTCAATGAATACACTAAGGCATTTTGCATATTTTCAAGTTTTTTATTAAGATTAAGAGCAAAACAAATTCCCATTTATGTATTTATTTCATTTTAAAAGAATCTCCACAAAACTGCATTCTTGGAACATGAACTTTATAAGTTCGGAATGTTTCAGTTTGTAAAATAAAATTATGGATATCTGAACTAGAACTCACTCAAAGTGCGGGAACATGTTTCTATTCATTCGGTTGTGACAAATAAACTATAGACTCATTAAACTACTGACTAATGTATTTAATGTTCTAAATATCAAATGAAATATTTCAGAAAAGGCAATGACGTATAAGTACAATTTCTTCCTAAAAAACAATTGCAGACAAAATATATCAGAAAAAGCTATGACACATTTGTACAATTTCTTCCTCAAAACACAATGGCAGATCTAGCATCTCCCTCCCCACTGCCCCGCCCGCCGGAAAAGGGGGCCGGGGTGAAAAAGAGGCCCACTTAGGACTTACATACTACTAGATTTACACGAATATCAAAATGTCACCCCTTCGTCCCAAATTCGCCATTGTTTTGTTTCTCACTTTATAATCAAAACATATGAATATTTTCTCTAATGTTCCTTTGCCAAAATGTCAACGACGTTTATAAAATGATTTAGCCAGTAATTACAGTTAGCAGATCTTGGTAAAATCGAGGAACAGATCACGATATTACATTATATTGACATATATGACATAATATTACCGATATTACTTCACTCCATTGATTTTCATTTATAAAAATTGTAATACGAATTTACCTTTCTTAATATAAATCGTTTTCCTGTACCTGCTGGTCTAGAAAATAAGTTGCTGTAGGGTAAATAAAAGGGCAAATAAAAAGTAAATATTTGAAAATATGAAAAGTTTCAATCCCATGAATGCTCCCTCATCTTTACGCAAAAAATTACAATTGCTTTACGAGTAGAGATGTCATTAATATTTTACGATAAAACGTTTTTTTATCGTACAATCTAGGAACCAATAATTCAGAAAATGAATATCAAAAGTTTTAAAGATGCATATTAAGCGAGTAATTGTCAGATTATTTCCTTTCAACCCCTCCAAATGGCACCATTTAGTTTTAAAAACATGTATAAAAGAAAAACAACAGTTTCGTTACATCACTTCTCGAAAAGTCGAATTTGCACATATTTTTTCTGTTAACCTTCTGTGTTGTGCGGACAAGAGGAAAATAAATAGACCAAAGGTCAGTTTTAAGGCCTTTTTCTGTTTTCCATTAGAGAGCTTAATTTTTTGCTTCTTTTGATTTGTGTATTTGTTGTGTTTTGTTAGAAACTAGTACAAATAATTTACAAAAGTTTCAAGGAATTTACTCTCCCTTCATATGCATCTTTCAATGTAACATTATTATTTGGATTGATGAATCAATTGAGGTAAATACTAAAAAAAAATAAAAAATATATATTCCGTTTTATGCACAGAAAAACCGATAATATGAGCTTTTCCAGAGTATAGAAATCTTTACAATTGAAGACTTAATTTTGTGAACTCTATAGACTTCACTTAATAACTAAAATAATGGGTTGTTTTTAACAAAATGATTTCTTTAACTCAACAAGACGACAAGACGACACATTTTCAAATTTAAAGATAAAATGTCTTTTTATCTGAGTATCAAAAGAAAAACGAGCCTTAAAATCACACAGTGAGCGTTAGACAAGTAAATAGTGAACTTAATTCTTCTGGAAATTTCAACACTTTCCCTAACAAACAAGGTGTGCCACATCAAAATCCGTCCAGAGAATTATGATCCATCAAAACAGTTTTAGAGTTGCTAAGTTGCTAGTGTTAGAGTCACTCTCATAATGGAGATAGAGACCAGTGAATTTCACTCGTGACGGTAAAAATAAAAAAATTAGAGCTAGAAAACTACTGTTGATTCTTTTTTCTCGACCGTTTTAGATGGTGTACCTTAAAACGCGCATTGTATACCTTTACAATCAAATTTAGAATCCCAAACGTTGAAAGTGAGTTGAAAATTTTATAAAACTAAAATTTGCAAAAAATTAATTATTCGGTGTAATTTTGTTAACTTAAAATTTAACTGGATAAAGGGATTGATTCCCTGTAGTGTATCACTAATAACACTAACAACTTGAGGCTACTTTAATATCCATCCAAATTATTTTTCGCCACAAAATTTAAGAACCCTAATCATGAAAAGTTCAAAAATACATCAACATGGTTTCAAGGTCACAATCTGTCTGGATACTCACAAAGGTCAAACTGAACTTTAAACTGATTTTTTCTAGAATAGTCCATATTTGTGCGCACTTTATCGCATCAGAACGTAACGGCAGTTCACCATGTGCTCCCTTGCTGTGGAATACGGAACATATCTCAGGTCCGGTCAATGTGCAATTGTCACAGCGTCAAACCTGAAAGTAATATTAGAGTAGTACACGTTACATTTAAAAATCTCAAAATCGGGGAAATCTTTTTTAATAACATGAAAAGTGTATTTGGACAGAGCGTTTTGAATTAAGAGCATGATGCTGACGGAGGGCATATAGATGGTAGAATATTGCAAGCAGAATCACAATCCATTTCAAACAACAATTTGCCCCATGTGCATTGAAGGGCTAATCTTAAATCTTTCACACAGAAACAGTATAACAATAGTTCAGTTTATATATTTTAACGGATTGAAATATTACAGCTTATTTGCGAAACCGTGCCAAAATTCGAAATGGAAGTAAATTTCTAAATTATTATTAAATTAAGGAACGGAAGTAGGCCTATATTGCTGTACCTCTATAGTGTTCGTTGATGCGACTACCAACCATTCCCTTATTAAATATAAGCCTACTAATAGCCAGGATTTCCGCAGCATTTATCATTAAATGGCTTTTCCTCACGTAACCCTTTTTTTCTGGCACTACTACTGTATTTTTATGAACAGAGTTGAAATTAACGAGGCACGTGAAGGAGTAGAGAAGTTAGGGGAAAGCGAAGTGTTATTTATACAAACTTTTAGCATGCAGGTATCAGTACTCCTCAAAAGTGAATCATAAATAAGCTATAGATCTTCAAATTATCAACTTTATATTTTTAACGTTATATTGAATAGGTTAAAACTGGGATATTCGTTAATTTATTACCTAGACCGCCACGGACCCATCCCTGACCTGATCCCAGAGCAGGAGAAGTGAAATATCTTTCTAGAGAGCCGGTTCAATTAGTGTCATGCAGGGGGAGGAGGCAGGATGAAGTCGGTGCCTTTCGTGTTCAACTCTCTCGAGACATTATCTGATAGATAGAGCTTTATTTATAGTTTACTAAGATAAAAATACATACAATGCTTTGTGCACAACATATTCAAAATAGTGCAGAATAAAAAAAACCCTGACCTTTACCCACCCCTAAAGAAATGATATCACTTATATGCATATGAA